ATTTGGCCATTAACATGTAATTTAGTTACATTTGGATTTTTTTAGTTTTAGATATGGGAGGAAAGGAGATAACCCGGAGGAAACCCATGCAGAACATGGGAAGAACGTAGGAACTGCGCATTGTAAGGTGTGTCCAAGTGAAGAATCGAACCCAGGGCCTGAGTTGCTCTGCTACCACATCACCACCCTGATGCCCACCAATCAATGCACTCCATACAATGTACACAAGATAGGCGTGGGTTTGTGTGTGACGGTATTTTGTATCGTGTGTGCGTACAATATATGTGTGTGTGTGCGCACGTGGGAAGCGGTGGCGTGATGGTCAGCGCAATGCACGGCCAAAGTTAGATTCCGGGTCACGGCTAACATAAAAAAATGGATACTTCGACTGATGCTTCTGTTGTTGTGGAGTAACTCATGCAGCCAGCTATGGCTCTAGGATTTGGTGTTACATGCTATTTATGTAGTTTATTGTAATTATGGCTTTATTTTTTGGTGATTTCGTAAATGTTTTTTTGGTTTGGACATGTTTGTTTTGTTGTAGTACGGAGTTAGACTGATGGCCTTAATCTACATTTTCTTGTGGTTGTTGTTGTTTGACCTGCATCCCACTGAGATTTTTTGCACACGGTGCTTTTTTCAGGAATATTTTGCTGTTTTTTTTCATGGATTTTCTGTTTGCACAGTCATATAGTCACTTTAAGATGTTTTTCTTGTTTGTGTTTTTGTTTGTTGTGGTTGCACCCGATTCAAGAGCCGAATGGCTCACAGGGCTATACCAAAATAAAGAAACTGAAACTGAAAAAAACTGAGTAATATCCAAATCTTTATGATGTGCATAGCTCCTGAATCTTCGTCTGTTCCTGAAGAAGCTTCCAGAATGTGGAGTGAAACGTCGGACATTATGCCGAACAACACGCGGTACAACCCCAAGTCACATCAGAGAAATGCAGAGCACAACCGCGAAAAACGTTTGTGGCGATATCAGAACCTGTCCTCGTGCATCTTTAGGTCGACTCAGCCTTAAATCAGTACATAGTGCGGTGTGTAAACTTAAGCACTGGGGAGACAAAGACGGCCGAGCATGGTTCTCGGCACACCACTACCCTCTCGTGTGCAGTTCTCGTCTTCATGGGTGCTCGAAGACGTGGTGGGGTTTTACCATCACCCCCCACGGAAACTTAAGACACCTGCCTGGGTTATTTTACAGCACTGAGCACTCCACGGCCCACACCCTCGACTCCCCTCGAGTAACGGGGCGCTTGCCCGTCAACCCATGGCACCTGACGTGGGTCTGTCCCGTGACCGCCTCCTGCCAGAGAGCCTTTGACACTTCACGTGGCCTCAAAGTGCACCTAGCCTGGCACAAGCGCCGCGGTGACGTCACCGCCACTGAATGGCGAACTGCTGTTGTTTTTGGATGAGGACTTCCAGCACTTGGGGCCGTGTCGCATGCCCGTGGCGAACACGATCTCTGGCTTAGCAACGGAGATCTCGCTTACAAGCAATCGTTCGAGCGGTAATATATCTTAATTGGCTGCGTAAGGGGCCGTCCATAAATGACGTGGCGCCATTTTGGACGATTTTTGACCCCCCCCCCCTTCGTCACACGGTGTCACAAAAAGTCAGACCCCCCTCAAATATGACGTCACAAAGCTCTGCCCCCCCCAAAAAATATATATAAAACATGCTTCAAATCGCTTTAAACTATTGTCATTGTAGTGCGTATTTAATGTGGCGCTGCACTCTGATGTTGTAGGAGAAAACATTGATTAAAAAGTCTATTTAATTAAGTAGAACGTGTTGTCTATATTTATTTAAAGTTGCGCATTTTTACGTGACGTCACATTTCTAACCCCCCCCCCCCCTTGTCACACATCGTCACAAATATCTGACCTCCCCCCCTAGGTGCGTGACGTCATTTATGGACGGCCCCTAAACGCCATGTGGAGGAGCTACCTGGCTTATCACTCCACACGAAGCCCCGAGATCTATGTATCGGCCACTGTTTACACTTGCAAAACGTGGACACCTTTAAGGGGGGGGGGGGGGGTGAAACAAACCTGGGGCCGGCTTGAAACATTCAGTACACATGACGTGACAAGACGCTGTAGTCGATTCTAGATTTGAAGCTTTCGTGACTGCAAGGATCTATACTCTTTGGTTTTATTCGGTAAATTCACGCAGGTAAAAAATAAAATAGCAAAAAATCACGACGTTTCGGCCACAACACAAGTGGCCTTCATCAGGTGAAGGGACCGGACTGTCCAGAGGACAGCGCTGGAGTGAACACAGCCAAGCCCAGACCGCGTCCTTTAAGCTGTGTGGGAGGAAACAGAGCGCCTTGACAAAGGAGTTAGCATGACAATTAGCATTTAATTGGCGGATTCAGCATGATGCACGACGACGAAGAGGGAACATGTTCAGACCAGCGAGGGGGTAGGGGGAGTTTACATAATGTTGGTGTGAAGGGAAAATAAGCAGCTGCGAAAGTTTGGGATACCACTACTTGAAAAAATATACTGTACCACAGGGCTCATTGCATTTCGGACCAACACCACCTGGCCAGTGAATTAAAACACGTACATCTGGCCCTCAAGAGGAATGGATACTCTGACCGTACCATCCGCCAAGCTGTTTCTCCCTCCATACAGAAACAACCACTTGATACTCCGATCAAAACCATCACACTACCATACATAGCGGGCGTTACTCAAAAGATCTCCAAAATTCTAAACAAACACAAGATCCTGGTCCGGTTCAATACAGTACACAAAATCCGTGACCTGATCCCATCCGTAAAGGATATCATTCCTGACTTACAGTACTCCGGGGTTTACAAATTGAGCTCCACCTGTGGTGACTGCTATATCGGGGAGACGAAACGACATATCTCTGACCGAATTCGCGAGCACAAATCAGATTTGAAACACGGCAGAACGAATTCTTCTGCCGTAGCTGATCACTGTTACAACGCTGTGGGTGATCACGATATAGTCTTCTCCGATACCAAGGTTCTTTGCAAACCCACGGGTTTCTATCAGAGATTTGTTCACGAGGCAATTCAGATCTACAAGCACAGACACAATTTCAACCGAGAAAATGGTTTCAATTTAAGCAATCACTGGAAAGATGTTCTAAATGAAACCAAACATTAAACAAATTTTCAATGGTACAGTATATTTTTTCAAGTGGTGGTATCCCAAACTTTCGCAGCTGCTTATTTTCCCTTCACACCAACATTATGTGAACTCCCCCTGCCCCCTCGCCGGTCTGAACATGTTTCCTCTACGTCGTCGTGCATCATGCTGAATCCGCCAATTAAATGCAAATTTTTATGCTAACTCCTTTGTCAAGGCGCTCTGTTTCCTCCCACACAGCTTAAAGGACGCGGTCTGGGCTTGGCTGTGTTCACTCCAGCGCTGTCCTCTGGACAGTCCGGTCCCTTCACCTGATGAAGGCCACTTGTGTTGTCGCCGAAACGTCGTGATTGTTTGCTGTAGTCGATGTCACTTTGCTTAGTGACGTGACGCTGTAGTCGATGTCACTTTGCTTTGTGACGTGACGCTGTAGTCGATGTCACTTTGCTTTGTGACGTGACGCTGTAGTCGATGTCACTTTGCTTTGTGACGTGACGCTGTAGTCGATGTCACTTTGCTTAGTGACGTCACGTCACGCTGTAGTTGATGTCACTTTGCCTTGTCACGTGACGCTCTGTGTATCTCGCTGTGCCTCTTTCAGTACCCAGTGCGCTGGCCTAGTGCTCTAACCGCTCCACCACTGCTCCCCGGGCACGACACTCGCACACTATCACACACTCTCTCTTGAAAACACTCACAACTCCCTCTCCTACGCACACTCATCTCTAACTCTCCCATACAAGACGTCGACAAAGATCCCCCGTGTAGTCTTGACAGACTTTAACAGACTACACCTGCCGAACGATCCCTCCTGTGGTGGGCCTGGCCAGGTTGTGTGAGGAGCTCACACAGATCCAATCTAATTTGATATTAACAAAGCGCGTTCAATGACGGCGCTTGACATACGGTGAGAAAGATGTGATAGATGCCTGATTACGGCCGCTCGTGTTGCGATCGAAACGTCGTGATTTGTTTTATTTTATTTCCACCTACGTCACTTTACCGAAAGAACCATTGCTGCAGTCACGAAAGCTTCAAATCAAGATGTAATATAATTATTTCGGTGGCAGAGGCGTGCAAGGGTTGAGGAATAAGTGACCGCGATATGGGGGTACTTGGGGGTCACGGAAGGGTAAGGGGAGGGGGCAGAAGGAGTGGAGGAGCGAGGGAAGAGGAAGAGAATGGGCAACGGAGAAGAGGCGAGGCTTTCAGAGAGGCAACTGAACGGGGTTAAGGAGGAGGACCACTCAGTGCACAGGGGAACTTTATTTCAGTAGAGGGGGTGCAAGTAGGAGAGAAGGACCGAAAGAGGGATTTGGGCACGGGCAGAAGGGGGGGGGGGGTCACAGATCCTCGACAGATCTGGACTCGTGTGAGTGGCCTCATCCAGCAGGCGAGGCTGCGTTGGCTGGGCGGCGTAGCCCGCATGGCCAACCAACGCATGCCCCATGCAGCGTCTGTTTGGCCGGATAGAGGGGGCTCAAAAGGCGCTCCGCGGGCTTGAGAGGAAATGGGAAGATTTGAGGTGATTGGAGTTTGCCGATGACTGGTACCAACACTGTCAACATCGGCCTCTGTGGAGGAGGAGGAGGGGGAGGTTCGTGAAGGACGTCGTCCTCCAGCAACAACGGAGGGCAGAGGAGCGACGCTCACAACAACGAGCATCAGCAATGGGGAAACAAAGGCAGCGCGGGTGTGGTGCCGGCCTTCATAAGCGCTCGCTAATACGGCACTTGCCCCAACAGCCCGCTCAAAGGCTATACGGGGGATCTTTGTATGCCACACAGGTATGTATGCAGGCGCGTGTACGTGACAGTCCTTATCAAGAGCATCCACAACGAACCCCGCCCATGTTACCCTCCATCCCTCCCACTCTCCCTCCTGATTCTCTCTCTCCCACGCGCACAGGTGAGATGATCACACAGGCACACGCTCTCACCCAGACACGCTGCACTCGCTCGTACAAATTCTAATACACACACACACTTTCTTATACACACAATCTCCAGCATACAAACTGTTATAAACACACGTGTACATACGCACAAACAGCTTCTTATATATACACACACACACGTATACATGCATAGGTACTCGGGATCACACAGACATACATGCTTACATAGTAACTATACCTTTAACACAACGCTCAGTAACGCACACGCTCATTCATACACGCAGGCAAACTCTACAAAGACAAATATCCCCCGTATAGCCTTAACAGGTTGTCGGGGCAAGTGCTGTTAGCGAGCACCTATTATACACAAAGACAAAGATCACCCGTATAGCCTTACACAGACTGTTGAGACATGTGCTGTTAGCGAGCACCTATTACACACACACACAAACCCGCACTCTCTCTCTCTACTCATGGATTCCCAACTGGACCGGGACCCGCCGTCTCGTTGCCGACGAATCTGCGGCTTCTTTGTGCTTCTGGACATCGCGTGCCTCCTCATAGGTGAGCATGCAGAGCCTTAATAGGCCATCGCAAACTCCGCCACTGCCTCCCCCAAATCTCTCTGTCTCGATTAATGCCTGCGCGTAGTGGGGAGCGGTGGTGTAGCGGTTAGCGCGCTGCGCTACGAAGCTGGCGACACGAGTTGGATTCCCGCTCACGGCCAACACCACCAGTGACGATTATCTGAACCGGTCCTGGGTCTCCCCTAGGTCAATTCAGCCTAAAATGAGCACCTGGTGTGGTGTGTAAGCATCGCCACTGGGGAGACAAAGGCGGCCGGGCGTGGTGCTGGTCACCCACCCCCTCGTGTGCCGTGCCGGCCTTCGTAGGTGCTCGCTAACAGCACTTGCCCCAACAGTCTGTGGAGGTTATATGGGGGATCTTTCTCTTTGTTTTGTAGTCGCGAGGAAGGGAGCGGTTGCGCAGTGGTTACCGCATTGCTCCATACAATTCCGGTTACATTTTTATGATTCCCGGCCACGGCGTTTACCAGTGGCATAGTTCGACTCAGCCATAAACGAGTAATCTGGTGGTACGGTGCGTCAACAGTAGCACTGGGGAGACGAAGGCCGCCCGGTGTGGATCTGACCACACCAGGCTGCTCCGTGGTGCGCGCCGTTCCGGTCTTCATCGGTACATGCGAACAACACTTGCGCCAACAGTTGATGTGTCTATACGGGGGATCTTTGCTATTGCACGTTGTGTGGGTCTGTGTGTGTGTGTGCGTGCGCGTGGGTTCGTGTGCGGTGTGGGGCATCTTTTAAAGGAAGGTTGTGTTTGTACGGGGCACCGCTTAGCCAGAGTCATCATCGCAATCCATCTGGGGCTGATACAGAGTACTAACGTTCAAAAATTGCTGTTCGCGGGTGGTGTGTGAACGCCGCCATGGGAATGTGGAATTTCCACCGCTGGCTGAAGGTAGCCAGTTAGATAGTCCATGGGCCACAGCAGAAATCGGTACCACCTAAGGTAACACAACTTTAGTAGGTAGCCATGTATCTGCAGGGCCAACGAGAGTGAACTAATTTACTTGATAACCTCACTTTTACGACTTATCACATCATTCACTGTTATTGGCCACATTAAGGAATTAGAACCGCTAAAGTTAATTTTAGACTATTTCATTTATCAGGTAAGGCCCACTGAGCGATGTAGCTCTTTTTCACAAGCAACGAAGTGGTTTATCGTGTGCAAATGTGTAGCGAGTAGCCAAATACTCTAAACGCGTGTTTCTAAATGTGGAGGGGAAAACTGGAGTACCCTGAGAAATATCGACGCGATCACGGGGAGAAAGAGACACCGCAAACTCCAAATATACAGCAGCAAGCGTCAGGGTCGGGATCGAACCCACGACCTCCTGCATACCGAGCGAGGGAGTTAACATCTCCCAGCCACCTCGTGTGTTACCGACAAGTGAAATGCCTGCTCTGGGCACGTGGACTCTCTGGCAGATGATCAATGCTGCTGCACCCTCTCATTGTAGTGGGTCAGGGGGTGTTACAGTATGACTCTTAGAACGACTTCGAGTTTATAGGATTAAAGTCTGTTCGCGGATAATTGGCCGTGGTTGAGGACGCGCTGCCCTGAATAAGATAACAATTCACTACTGTCGCCCCCGTCCCCCCGCCCTCCTTTCACCGGTTTCTCGCTTGGATTAGATTGTCAAGTTTCGGGGGGGGGGGGTCAAACAATGTATTCAGTTCTGTTTGTATGTCTGGATGTCGTCCCTTCTCGCTTGCATTGTCTCCCGTGTTTCTCTCATCTCGCGTTGTGCAGTTCCCTTCGCCCCGTTACCCTAAGAGTGACAATTAGAATGCCGTCGAGTATTCCTCTTGCCAATCCACTGCTGGATGAGGACCCTCCCCACCCCACCTCCCCACGATGTCTCGTTCACGCGAGTTATTTGACCACACCTCTACTTCACCACGTTGACCGTTGCCAGGTGGTGCAATGGTGCTCGCTAACCGGACAACATCTGTAGAAAAAAGAGGCGCATAGGTCGTCAGAGTCATCCAGTCGAAATAAAGATCCTCATTCCTACGCTAAAGATTCTGAACTGCGCTAGTTGTGTTTGTCTATGGGTGCTGTAGTCTGACTCTCTGAGCTGTGTGTATTGACAATACACAATCATTCTCGGAGTGCCGTCGCCTGCCACTCTGAACCTTGGACACCGACTCTTAGGAATCCCAAGGGGTTCATTCTTGGAAATTATCACTGAACCGTAAGACTCACTCTCGAGCCAGAGCCTTTGACTCTTTAGCTGTCTCTCTCGAGCCAGATGCATTAATTCTTTCGGAAGTGACTAATGTCCCCGCAAATGTTTATCGATCGATCAGGTTTTCATCCGACCACAGACCGTCCATGGGTTGCAGTTGCCGAATTAAGAAGGGAAGCCAAATTCCTGGGTTATTTGGGTAAGGTGTTCGGGTTCGAGACACGAGTACGTGTCAGACTGATTTTCTTGCCACGAATCTCTGGGGATGGTAGTCACGTCCATAACACTGAACCCAGAGAATAGCAGAGGCGCTGCATGAGTCAAACACAACCGCGGGGGCCCTGGACGCACGAGTGTGTGCTCACGCAACAGTCTGGGCCAACATTATTCCGAACAGTCTCGGTACCCGGGCTCCCAGGCTCGGTTTTTAAACTCAGCCGTGCGTTTTTTTTCTGGGCTGACCCTGCAAATTCCAAATATACAGCAGGCGTCAGGGTCGGGATTGAACCCACGACCTACTGTATACCAAGCGAGGTAGTTGATATCTCGCCACCGTGGTTAGAAGTTAATGCTGAGGTCGTTGGGCTATGCAGTGGCCCCCAGGGGAGATGTCGCGGATGTCTGTGGCGTTGCCCGTGTATGGGCGACGCCGGCAAGCGTCAGATGATGCGCTCCACGGTTTGGTCCGACGCGATAGAGCAGCACCATGGGTCACGGAGCGTGGGAACCCAGATCCGGGAACTGGTGCCGAACCACGGCAAGATCTGGGGTTGTTCCCGGTGGTCATGGAAACGAGGAATTATCCCGGCTCTGCGAGATGTTCGTTGGGTCACGTGAAGCGGAAATCCCATGCGCGTGGTTTCACCTGTGGAATGAGATCACGTGGGCGATTGTGGTGATGCAGGCGATGGGGGCGGAGGAGCGGGGAAGGATAGATGCGGGCAAGGGGTTGGGGGGGGGGAATGAGGAGATGTGGGCAAGGAGGAGGAGGTTGGAGAGTGGAGGGGGTGGAGGAGGAGGTGGGAGAGTGGAGGGGGTGGAGGAGGAGGTGGGAGAGTGGAGGAGGTGGGAGAGTGGAGGGGGTGGAGGAGGAGGTGGGAGAGTGAAGGGGGTAGAGGAGGAGGTGGAAGAGTGGAGGGGGTGGAGGAGGAGGTGGGAGAGTGGAAGGGGTGGAGGAGGACGGGGGAGAGTGGAGGGGGTGGAGGAGGTGGAGAGTGGAGGAGGTGGAGGAGGAGGTGGGAGAGTGAAGGGGGTAGAGGAGGAGGTGGAAGAGTGGAGGGGGTGGAGGAGGAGGTGGGAGAGTGAAGGGGGTAGAGGAGGAGGTGGAAGAGTGGAGGGGGTAGAGGAGGAGGTGGAAGAGTGGAGGAGGTGGAGGAGGTGGGAGAGTGGAGGAGGTGGAGGAGGTGGAGAGTGGAGGAGGTGGAGAGTGGAGGAGGTGGAGGAGGTGGAGAGTGGAGGAGGTGGAGGAGGTGGAGAGTGGAGGAGGTGGAGAGTGGAGGGGGTGGTGGAGGAGGTGGAAGAGTGGAGGGGGTGGAGGAGGTGGGAGAGTGGAGGAGGTGGAGGAGGTGGTGGGAGAGTGGAGGAGGTGGAGGAGGTGGAGAGTGGAGAAGGTGGAGGAGGTGGAGAATGGAGGAGGTGGAGGAGGTGGGGAAGTGAAGGGGATGGAGGAGGGGGAAGAGTGAAGGGGGTGACGGTGGCGAAGAGTTATCGGAGGAACGAGGCTCTAACCTTCACCGTTTGGTGTTAATGCGTCGTTTATTCTCACAAACGTTATTTGGCAAATCTATTCGATGTATGAACATGTGATGTATACGTAACCGCAAAGAGACCTTTCTTACAGGCGAACAGGATGCATATTTAAATGCCGTAATATAATTGGGAAGCGGTGAATGAGGTCCATGTCGAAATCGGCCGCACGCGATGGATTTTATGCAATCACGGTTACAGTCAGCACGGCGATGGATGAATCTCGTGAAATAACAGCACGGATCCCCGCGAGTGCTCGTCACATTTACGAGAAGAAAAACACATTTCTGGAAAAACAGTGAGTCACTCAACTTATTTGAATAAAGAGATGAAAATATTCGAATAAGTTTAATTGCCTATGATCAAATCACCGCAGTGCGGTCAGATCCGTGAAGCTAAGCCGCGTTGAGTCGGAGTCGCTCGTGGATGGGCAAACACCACGCACAAAACAAGTGTCATCGGCTGCTGCGGGGCTAGCTTATGGGCAACAGTGCAGAGGTGCAGCACAATCCATAGTTGCACTGTTCTGTGCTCCAACATATGATCCCCCACCTTTGCCAATCCCTCGCTGAACAGCGCGGTGAAGTATGGTCAACCAAAAATCCATCCATAACCCGCACGAAAGGGAGAGGCCCTCATTCAGCGGTGGATTGACAAACGGGCCGTAGGTGCCACAACCTGTATCCGCTCGGTCAAGAGCCCCTGTGCTACGCAAGGGCGCGCAAAGGTTAAAACGCTGTCAATGCCAAGTGGCTTCGAGTTTCACTTTTACTGGAACCCATTGTAGAGGAAGAATGTACCCCCGACGGGGGTTTTTGTCCCACCCAGACTTGCACAGAGGGCATCTCTGCCCACGCAGTAGCGTGGTTGGCATGGGCCCTGGTGTGAGGTAGGACATGAGCCCCCCCCCCAACCTATCCAATGGCCTCCCCCTTCATTGCCCGGTGCTGGGAGATGGCAGTGGTGTCACTTTCTGGACACCGTCGCCCCGTCTTGATGCGCAAAAACGCCAGCAAATTGCGCTCACTTCAGTTGGCGGTAGACGTTCCAAGTGAGAACTGCGACCCTCAAAGGAAAGGAGCCGCCCCCCGTGGTCGCCCCACAGCCCCCCCGCCCCCCGTAATCCGTGGATTAAACAAATCACTCTAAGACACCGGTGTATGGCAGCAAGAGCAAGTTGATGCAAATGCTATCACAAGAGGTCACACGTTTGGCACGACGGTCCTTCGCTGACTATGCGTGATGAATTAAATACCTGGGATCCTCACTGTGCACACTCTGCGGTAATTCCACTGGCGCACCCCGTGGCTCCTGTCTTTACCCACACCTATCGTTTTTGGGGTCATTCGGCGTACGGAATGGATTCGAAACACCAACATCGACGGCGAAAATGGAATAAAAAGCTGAGAAAGTGAGCAAAGAGGCATGGCGAGGTGCGTGTGCTGGGATTTGCACTGGGAGGCCGCAAGAGGAACACGTAGAGAAGAGGTCACACATATCGGAGACATCTTATTGCCTATTGAACAAGCTAAGTGGGCACGGACAGAGCAAGTCGCAAGGAAGGGCAAGTTTTAGGTCAAGTTCATGTGTGGCGAGATGTTAACTACCTCGCCCGGTATACAGGAGGTCGATCCCGACCCTGACTCCTGTATATTTGGAGTTTGCAGTGTCGCTCTCTCCGTAGTTGTGTGAATTTTTCTCCGGGTCCTTCAGTTTTCCCCGCCACATTTAGAATCAACACGCGTTCGCTGTTGTACATTCCACACGATAAGCTGCTGTACATTCCACACGATAAGCCACTTCGTTGAGCGATCATTTGTAACCAGGTTGCTTCTGAAAAAGAGCTATATAGCTCAGCGGGCCTTACCTGGTAAAACAAAATTTTTAATTGAATTTAGCCAGGTGGTCGAGGCTAATGATGGAGTGGCAGGCAAAGGTGTAGTGATGAATTCATCTTTGTGAGCTACATGGATCCGTCGTGTTGTGAGACAGAGAGATATTGGTGACGGCTTGGGGAGGCCTTCATCTAGCAGTGGATAGATCAGAGCTGATAATACGCAAATTTTACCGAGGGGTTCAATCGATTCAGTATTGCGTCGGAACATCTGTGGTACCGTATTCACATAAATATTCAAGTAAGTGCACACTGAACAACGCTGTGCTGAGAATAAGAAATGAGCAACACGTGACGAATTCCGTCCAATGACCCCACAGCTATAATCGGGACGCTTTTGCAAACACAGATCGCAATGACCCAGCAGTGGCTGCTGAAACAAGCACACTCCTCCTTTGGAAAACGGGAAGCTTCTGAACACTGAAACCGAATAGGTTGTTTTTTTAATCCGTACTACTTTTTAATTAAAAACTCAGTGACATGAAGAGACATCTAAGAGACAACCCTGGGGTGCCAATGGACAGTGAAGAGACATGATCTCACACGAGAATAAATGAGCTGTCTGCTTCTTCCCCACTGCATTGAGTGTACAGTGCAGTGTTCGAAAGACCGTTGAAGGCTGCCTGCTAACCAAAGCTGGGCCACGGCTTAAGAACTGCGACTGCAATTTGTGCAACATAAGGATGAAGCTTCTGCCTGGCTCTGTGTAAAACTCACACGCTGAACACGTATATCGCATTTGAAATAGTACGCGTGTGAATTAACGTGCCCAGTTGCATTGACCACATACAAAATAAATAAAAAATCCCTTAATTTCTCAAAGCAGATTTTTAAAAAAATGTGATTTACACAACCCTGTATACTGATTTTCGATACGATACAATGTTGTGGATATATATTTTTTCTCAAAACAATGCATCTCAATTGTGCTGTTTAAGTTTATTTTGATGAGAATTCAAGAGCAGAGAATAAGTCCTATATCCTGGTCTATTGGCACTGTGTCATACATTTGTAATGAGCGACTTCTGCGACACGTCTTGTAGAGGGTACTTCTTCATTACTCACACTGGGCACCACAACACAGGCCAACACTTATTATTATCCCTCACACTGAGTACACCACTTAGATATTAACGTCTCTACTGGCTACACACAGCCGATCACTCGGCGTGGTCCCATCGCCCTCACTCGGCTACGCCGCTTGTCTGGCGGCGTGACGATGACGGCGATGGAATCCACGCAGGAGATCGTCCACGTGGCCGGGCGACAGAGAGAGATGTCGGCGAGCAGCGACACAGCCAGGACCCCACACGAGCCCCGGGTCCGCTCCCCCTATTATCCCCCCAGGCGTGGCTAGGCCCCGCCTCTGGCCACGCCCTCTTGTGGAACCTTCGAGCAGGTTCCCAGAGTATCTCGGCTAACCCCACCTGTTACCTTTGCCCCAGATACACCTCCTTCTCTGATTGGTTGTTACTTTAACTGTGCCCGTACCCGTGATTCCCCTTCCAGCCAGTAGGTGTCACCCTGTCATTACACGTACATACACGTCGTGAGATGAAGTGATCCATTCGGTAATATCTCTCACAGAGGATATACATCACCCTGTGTGGTCGAGAACGGCCCGCCTAAGGTGATATCATATAACTATTTCTAAAATTCCTTCATTGATGCTAGAGGTACTGCACTTTCCCAATATTTGTTCCATAACAGCGAAGTGAAACCAACATAAATACATAAATAATCTTAAGAGGTAGAACTTTGTCCAAATTAAGCGAAACCCCAAATTTAATGTGATGGGCTATTTTCTGCAGTCATTGGTTTGCCAGGCTGAGCCGTTGACTGATGACACCCAAACATCCACTTCAATCATGAGTGACTGAATTAAGGATCTGAGCAATTTGAACCACAGAATCCCAGCAGCGCTGGCTTAGCTAAACAAATTTTTTTTATTTTAATTTTTTTTCCTGACAGCCTCTTGGTTTGTGGACGAGGTGTCCATAAGATTGTAGTTTCTGTCTTCATAATCATACCCACTGCATTGTATGTGATTGAGTACCTGTGCTGATGTGTGGGTGTCTGTCATAGCTGTAGTTGCACCGCCTGCACGCTCGATAGCTTACCCCACTGGGCACGCGGCGGCTGTTGGACAGCTCGAGCTGATGATGATACAGTACATTCTCCTATAACGCGTGTTTTCATAACGGCAATTGGTTATAGTGCAATTAATGTATTCGAGGACATATTTTTTTATAACGCACATGCGAATTAGATGTAACGCGATTTAGTGAAAAGACCTACGTCACATGAGTAGGAATAACAAAAAACGACAGTAGTGTTTTGTTATTTTCTTTGAACCTATCTACGTGACTTTACCGAAAGACCCAAAGAATATGAATTCCTACAGTCACGAAAGCTTTAAGTCAAGATTTAGGAATAAGCGGTCGTACGGCTGCCTCGGCGTAGCTTCACACAAGGCGGGATGCTGCTGGATGCTTCTAGATGTTACCCACGGGCCTCAGTCTTTGTTGAGCCTGCACACGCATCTCACGTATTGTCGCAGACTGTGCGTTATCCCTAATTATACATTATTTAGTATAACCCGATTTTTCCATAAAGCGGTGTTCTTCAGAAAGGCAACTACCGCGTTAGAGGTAGTCATTTGAATGCAAGCCCCTTCCCAAAAAGAAAAACAAGTTATATGTTAGGGGTGTCAAAGTCTGCTTCAAGACTATAAACTAAACACGGAAATGGTTGTGAGATGTAACTGTTACAGTTCAAATCTATTCATTCTCCTACTCGCATTCTAACGCAGTTGGTCGGCAACCAAAAGTAACGAAAAGAGGCACTTTAATCTTGATTTGAAGCTTTCTTGACTGCAGGAATCCATACTCTTTGGTTCTTTCGGTAAAGTCACGTAGGTAGAAAATAAAATAAATGTAATTTATTTCGAATTCGGTAAGAACAAAAAAACCTCAATATTTCAAGAGCCGCAATGCGCATGAATTCGGAGACGGTGGTCCTTAATGAATAACATCACGAAGCAGTCATTGAAAGTGCCGACACCTTACTTTAGCCACTGCCAGCTTTGGCCCAACGTTGTGCAATGTTGACTGGGTAGGGTTGTTCAGAGGTCTGTGCTTTGTGCTGACACTGCTGAGAATCCTGGGTTAGAATCCTGGGTTTCAACCACCGCCCGCGGTTAAACGACGTTCTTAAGTGTAGTTAATGAGTAGACGCTCACAACGTGGCCACCAATGACTCAATTTGTTTTTGTTATCACGTGACATTTGGTTTAGCTTATTTTTGGGAAGAATAAATATATTTACTAAAATATCTCTTTTTAAACGTCAGTTTACCCGCATTGCAATGAACATTAATTTTTAGTAGAGCATAGTAGCAAGTTGTGCTCCCATAGCACGGAGGGAATGTATTGTTTGAATCTCAGAAGTAGTTATCTAATATCTGCTTCCGTGGCTCGTTTATTGACATACAAGAATGCACTAAATTATTCCAGCATTGTATGGCATGATGTCCCTATCACAATCGAAATAAACATTGATACAAATATGCTAAAAATATTTTTTGGTAAAAAAAGGTTTCGCTCACTCATCGCTGTGACCTCTGCCTTCTCTTCCCGGCCGCGTGACCCCCTCCCCACACCCCCGCCCCCCCCCAGCCGCCCTGCCGTTCTTCGCGCTGGAGCTCAACATCGTGAGCCCCATTCACCGGGGCTTCTACTGCGGGGACCAAACCATCTCCTACCCCGTCACGAGCGACACGATCTCGGACGGGGCGCTCAGCGCCGGGGGGGTTCTCATCACCGTCGTCAGCGTGAGCCTCACACAAACGACGCACCTGGAGTACAACGCGCGCAGTCGTCACCACCACAATACAGGCTTATAGTGCTGAGGATGCATTCTTGGTAAACGGAGCGGTATACGCAACCGCGCTATTGGAGGTCATCATAACATGGTTCCAATGGAGGTGCGTTACCGACAGCGCAACCTATGAGCGATACATAAGGGCTTCATTGTTGTATCGGTAATAGCCTTAATGTATGTACTCCTTGAATGAGCTGTCTTTGTTGCAGTTAACGATGTTACGGATTGAGCAGAAGCCTTCAGATTATCTGCATTCTTGAGAATGGTTCTAACGGTTGGCGCAGCCAAACCCAAGCAGCGCCCAACATCAACCTGATGCCCTCCCGCCTCCACGTGTCGCATTTTTACGTCCACACCGACGCTTTTCCTTGACTCTTTAGCCACATCGCCAGCACTCTCGCTTGCCAGGACTTCTTTCCCAGACACCGTGGGTAAAAAAAAATAAACGTTATCACAATAAAGCAAAGACAGTTACCAAAGGTCGAGTGAACGAACGTTCCCCGCAGGAAGCGTTCAAGGCTGGCGGGCGGAGGCGGGGGGGGGGGGCACTGGAGCTGAACGCGCGCGGCTCGGAGGGTAGAGGGAGCGTCGTGAGTCACGTGCTCTCGTGCAGGAATTTTGAACCGCGCGGGAATTTGGAACCTCCAGGACATATAACGTTTTAAGGAAACGGCGTTAGAGGAGGCAGCGCCGGACCATAGGATCGGGGACGTGCAGTGGTTCCACGTCAGACAGGCATTGAGATCCATCTCAGGTTTTCCAGCCAAGAAATCCATGCAGCTTGCAGGCATATGTGGTCTGACAGGTACCCAGACCCACCTCGCCCCCCTCCCCACGGGAATTAATCATTGCACCCCCCCCCCCCCCCCGCCAAAGAAATTTCCTACAGTTCTCAAAACATTGTCCCCACTTTGCTGTACTGCCCTTTGTCAATCCACTGCTGGATGGAAGCCTCCCGCACGCTGTCTGAACGAGGTGTGCCCTACTGGCCTTGGTCGGTATCAGCTTATTAGCGACACAACTACTCCCATCCCAGCAACATATAATTGGTTGAAATTCGTTATTTGATCATCGTTAAATAACAAAACTCAACACGTCTCGTACCCATTTAAATGTAAACTATAAACAATGTTTATTTTAGCAGGTAAGGCCCACTGAGCTATATAGTTATTTTTCAGAAGTGACCTGGCCGCAAATGATATCTCAACGAAGTGGCTTATCATGTGGAAATGTATTGCAGCCAAATACTCGAAACGCATGTTTCTTAATGTGGAGGGAAAAACCAGAGGACGCGGAGAAAAATCCACCACCACAGGGAGAAAATGCAAACTCCAAATATGCAGGCGTCAGGGTCGGGATCGAACCCATGGTTCTCTCTGTATACCAGGCGACATCTCACCACTGTGGCACCCATGTCTTTAAGGCACTAGTGCCTGCTGCTGAAGCAGTAATAATTTGGCACGTGTGTTGTTCATGTGACATGTATTCATCGGCTGTGTTGGGTGGAGAGGGGGGGGGGTATGACACATTTAATTTACACGATCTGACCACAAAACAAAATAATTGTAATCATAGTATTGGTCGCGAAAGGCTACGTGTTATATTTACATTCGTCAACAACACTGCCTCAAAAGAAACAAAAAAGTTAAATTGGTGACGCTTTGGGCAATGACCCCTTCCCACGTCAGGACATAGAGAGATGTAGTAAACCTCTACCCTCGATGCCTTTCCAGCAGGCTGGCTCGGGCTACCTCGATGGGTTTGATCTTCCACGAACTTCATGGTCCACCCTAAACCCCATTCGAACAAACCGTGGCAGGTGCGGATACCCGATGCACAAGTGGACAATGGAAAAACCTCTCCAGCGTGTGCGACCTGTGGTCATCCAGAACAGAGGCCGTACGACGCATGACGGCGCAATGCACGATCCGCGAATACGACGGAGACATCAGAGCGACACGCTCCGCTGTCTCATCACGTGGCTATCCGGCTTTGACCACCTGAACGTGAAATCGTCGTCGCCGCTCTGCGATGGACAAAAGCAACCGGCGTGCATCGTGGCGTTTGTCTGCCACACGGGGGCGCAGTGGAGGCGGCGCTAACCACTCCTGAACGCCGTCGAGACGTGTGGCCAATGCCTAATGACGAGCGTTAATGTTGTTGTACGCAGATAGCGCTTCGTGCAGATGACGTTGATGATGAATGGTGTTGACTATGCTGACAGCCGATGTTGATTGATGCTGATGCTAGTTGATGCTCATTAATGCTGATCTATGCTGTTGATGATGTTTAATGATTGATGCGGATTTATGTTGACGACTGAAGCTGATAGTCGATGTTAATTGATGGCGCTCGATACTGTTCGTGGTCGATGATGATGATGATGACAGTCGATGTTAAGAGAGAGGCCTACGTGTTAAACTTAAGAGAGGGTTCGCTGCGCGCTCGCTGCTCGCGGCACCGCAGGTGGTGCTGGTGGAGTGCATCAGGGGCCGCTCCCAGCTGCGCCGGGATCCTCTGCGCGGAGGGAACCTGGTCCCGAACCTGTACCGCCTGGTGGGCTCCTTCCTGCTGGGAGCCGCGGCGAGCCTCTCCCTCACCGCACTCGCCAAGGTGCGGAAGAGGGCCCACCGCCCATCGTCGGCATCATCAGCAGCACCAGCATCACAATCATTACCACCATAATCATCGTCACCATCGTTGTCACCACCCACGTCATCAACACCAACCTCGTTATCATCATCACCATTATGGCTGCCATCATTCATCAACACCATTGTCACCATCATCATTACCAACATCATCAAACCTGATTTTTTTATTATTATTCCCTGTCTACACTTTCCAAATGTCTCCCCTGCCTCTCATCTCCCATATATCGTTGTCTCCTTGTGTTTACCCATACCTCCACGCGTCCCCCAATTCCCACGTCATTTTTCTGGTGCGCCCTCCATCTTATTGTGCCCTACCTCCGTGTGTCTCTCCCTGCGTCACCATGTCTCCTCGTGGATCTTTGTGTCTCTCCCTGCATGTTCCTGTCTCTCTCTCTCTGCGTCACCATGTCTCCTCGTGTATCTGTCTTGGTGTCTCTCACCACCACCTCCTCGTGCTTGTCTCATCCTGTGTCCTCGTGTCTACCTTCATGCCCCCGAAATATGTCTCCTGTCTGTCTCCTCCATCTCACGTCTCCCCCCCCCCCGACCCCTACTGTGTACCCATCTCTCCCCGTGTCTCCGCAGACGTGGACCGGGCGTCTGCGCCCTCACTTCCTGTCCGTGTGCCGCCCGGACCCGGCGCGCACCGACTGCTCCCAGGGCTTCATCACGGAAGACGTGTGCACGGGGAACCCCAAGCTCGTGATGGAGGCGCGGTGAGAGAGTGTGGCAGCCCGTTCTCTCCCCCCACCTCCGTGCCTGAACGGTGTCATGAGACTGAGTTGACTGCCACGCTGCTCAGTCGCGCTGGTTGGCTAAGGCAGAGAGCACAGGCGTAATCTCTGCACTCTCAGTATCTGTGTGGAATAGGTACTGCATATTCTCAGATTATTAGCACGGCACATTGGAATTTATATGACTACATTAACCCCCCTCTGGTCTTCGCACCTGACAGGCTCAAAATGATGACATCATCTTTACTCTATTTAAGACGGAAAACAGGAAGACTTCTGCACATTTCTGGCAAATCGCCTGATGAAGCTGGTTGTAATCGCCAGAGAAACGTCGTACTCAAATTGTACATGTTGTGGGGTTTACTCTCCAGCACACCGGTGTGCTGAAGCAGTAACTAATCGGCACGTTTTGTTTACGCGACAAACCTTACTAATTGTCTGTATCGGGTGGTGGCGGGCGAACGACACATTTAAATTTCCCGCGATCTAACCCAGCAAACACCTTTTTTGTGGACGATATCGGTCACGTGTTAAACTGAGCACAGATGTACGACGGATATTGCTGCACTGCCCACGGTGGAGCACAATTCTGCAGCGGTGAATATATGTTGACTCGTCCATGCGTTTGGAGATGAGGGATCTGGGGATGTGGGGAGGCCCGTAGAGGACAGAGTTACCATCGTCGAGTCGTGATGATGTTGACGATGGAGGCATGGGGTGCGGGGGGGTGGGTGGGGCGGTTTTGGTTAGCAGCCGGGGTGAGGAAATGGCGGGTGTGGGAGATGTTGGGCAGATGGAGGAGGTGTGAGGTCCTGGCGATGTTGAGATGTGTGGCGAGAGAACGAGAGGTCAGGGAGAGCTCAGGATCAATGGCAACTCCAAGGTGTCGCGCATGCTCTGCCAGTGTAAAGTCCGAGTGACCGTGTCTGGTTCTGTAGTGTCAGAACCAGGAGTGTATTTCCCACTGAGTGGAGGCCATTGAGCTAGGCCGCTTCTTTATCAAGGGCGACTCGGCCAGCAGACAACATCGAAGCATTCCACAATTACATTTTTTTTTAAAACGTTTTAATCGCAATTATATTGTACAATCACATTCACACGTTAACATTTCGTGATTTTAATGAGTGAGTTTTCATATGAGGACCAAGATGGCAGAATGGAGATGCCATGAGGCGTGCCTGGGTGGCTCCAAAACCTTGGGGCAGCAGCTTCTGTTAAATGCTTTTGATCAAAATTGTAGTGATTGTCGATCTGTAGTGATCGTGGTACTAGAGTGGCCGTGGATCTGCAGTGATTTTTAATCTAGAGTGATTATGGATCTATAGTGGTCGTGGATCTGTATTGGTTGTGGATCTGTAGTGATTGTGTCTGGACCTTTGTTTCCCCAGGAAGTCGTTCTTCTCTGGCCATGCATCCTTCGCTATGTACAGCATGGTCTTCCTCGTTGTGAGTACATGCGCATGCACGTATTTGTACGTGTGTGTGTACGTGGTGAGCAGTAGTGGAGTGGTTATCGCACTGCCCTGCAAACTCGGCCATCCGAGTGCGATTCCCACACTCAAGGCCAACGGAAGTGACAATTTTCAGAACGGTCCTGGGTCTCCCCTAGGTCGACTCAGCCCCAAATAAGTGCAACTTGATGAAATGTGTACACATTGCCACTGGGTAGACAAAGGCAGTCGGGCGTGGCGCTGACCAACCACCACCTCGTGTGCCGTGCCAGCCTTCAGAGACGCCCCAACAGTTTGTTAAGGCTCGACAAGGGGGTCGTTGTCTTGATGTTGTGTGTGTGTGCATGTTGGTGGGGAACAGTGGCGCAGTGTTTCACTCATTGTATACAATTCACAATCAATGATTAACACCATTGTAAAGTGTTATCATAACCTGTACTGGGTCTCCCCTCGATGGACTCAGCCTTAAATGAACAACACTGGGGAAATTGCAATGACTGCGTGTGGGGCTGGCAACACCACCCCCAATGCGTCCGTGATAGGATTAACAATAACCCTACAAACCTGCCCTCTCACACTATATATGGGCCATTTGGAAAATTACATTTGAACATTGGACCCGCGGAAGGAAATTGGGCTCACCCAGCGAAAACCCACCACGTATGCCACGTATGCAAAAAAAAACTGTCCCTATTTTGTTCCTTTAACTTTCTCCACCATGACGCTGACGATTACAGCACCAGGATGTTGTTGTTGTCGTTGCACGAAAGTTGCGGGGCGGCTACTTGTTGTGTGGGCGTGGCTGGCGGAGGGAGTGGCTCTCGGCTCGCCATGGGTGCCTGTTGAGCCTCCCAGAAATATCGTCTCTGATAGCTCGTCCCCATGTCCCAGAATCCCAGTGTCCTCGCATCCAAGTGTCCCGGCATCCCCGTGTCCCCATGCCCCCATATCCCCGCGTCCACGTGCACCCACACCCCCGTGCCCCCGCATCCGAGTCCGGCCGTGCCCCCACAATCCCCGTGTCCTCGCATCCCTGTCTCCCCCTAGCTGTACGTGGAGGCGCGTCTGCGCTGGCAAGGGGCGCGTTCGCTGCGCCCGCTGCTGCAGGCCGTGGCGCTGCTGCTCGCCATGTTCGTGGGCCTCTCGCGCGTCTCCGACTACAAGCACCACGTGGGCGACGTCGCCGCCGGGTTCCTGCAGGGGGGCCTGGTGGCCGTGTTCGTGGTGAGTCTCGTAGGGGGTGGGTGGAGGGGGATGTGCAGGGGTACCGGGGTGGGGAGGGGGGGGTCACAAATATCGCAGGGTTCAGGAAAGGAAGAGACTCGTGGATCGAGAGCTGGGGGGGGGGAGTGTGGAGATCACAGGGGCAGCAGGGATTGTTGGGACACTAGGGCTCATTGGTGGCACATGACCACAGATAATTTGGGGGCACAGAGACTGAAGGGGAGAGCTCCATGCTCCTGGAGATCTGGATTCAGATCCAGAGCCTCGATTGAGATTTCGTCTGTGGATAAGCATCATCAACAAACAGAATCACCACCACTCCCCCTGCCTCCCGCCCACACAGGTGTTCCACATCTCGGGCCTCTTCCCCCGGGAGGTGCGGTTGGAGTGGAGTCGCGTCCCCAGCCCAGTGTCGAACCCGTCGCCTCCGTCCGCGGGGACCCCCAGCATCGGTGGCAGCGGCGGCGGCGGCAGCGGCGGCGACGACCACCTCAACGGCAACGGGAAGCTGGCGGGCGATCTGGCGCTCACGGGGCGACTCATAATGGCCTAAAGGGCCACAGGCTCGAGAGAAGTTCATCGTTTCCCATCGCGGGGAGACTCCACGGGGGCCAACGCGCGGCTCACCTGGTCCGCTGAGTCCCCCTGACGCTCGCAAAATCGATCGAGCATGGAGGCAACCGCATCCCCCGATGCATCGTCCCATTGCTGGCGCCATTTGAAATTGCCGATTGCTGTTGGGCAGCGTCGGTGTGGTTTATCTAATCATATCCCTGCGTTTGTTTGGACGATGGGCCCTCGGCTCACATGCAGACTGGGAGGGAAGCTTTGCATCTTAACGAAGCTCATGCCCTCCTGGTTGATGCGTCGCCTTCGATTTAATTAAAATGTCGATATAGCGACGATGGCTGAGTTTGCGGCCGAACACACGGGAGATAACAATCTTGTCTCTGGATAAGAGAGACCTCTGGCGGTGTCACGCTGGGGCTTGAGTCGTCGGGCACGCGATGTCGGCTTCCAACGAGCGGGAGGGGGGGGGTGGTGAACGTGGATCAATGGCGGGGAGGAAGAGCGACGAGGAAAGTGTGGGAGGGGGAGGAGGGGGAGGAGGTGGAGGAGGGGGAGGAGGTGGAGGAGGGGGAGGAGGTGGAGGAGGTGGACTGCGGGGTGACCTTCATGCGACTCGTCCATTATGAGCCCAGCTCCTGAGGACTCTCAGGTTACTTTACAAGGTGGTGGTCCAAATGTCTTGTGACACCCCCTCCCCCCCCCATTGCATTCTCTATAACTTACAAAATATTCAAGTGAGGTTTATTTAAAACAGAAGCGAATATGCAAAGGGAAAAAAAATGTTAGGGGGTCAATTATTTTGGGGTCGCAAGACATCTGGAACAGCCTGCACAGTGCTATATAATTATACCGGATGACTGACGCGAGGTGAACCACTCTTTATTACAGAGCATGAAGGAATGTCTGTCCTTAGTGCTCGTGACGTCACTCCACATCGACCAGCCCCCCTCATTAATATCCATGAGCAGGTGACGTCCTCCAAATGGACACCCCCCCCCCCCACCGCTCATTAATAATAATGAGCGGGTGACGTCACCCAATATGGAGTACTCCCCCCCCCCCACTAATAATCATGTGCAAGTGACGTCACTCCACATCGACCAGCCCCCCTCATTAATAATCATGAGCAGGTGACGTCCTCCAAATGGACACCGCCCCCCCCCCCCCCCCCCCCCATTATTATTACCTTCTATAATGAGCCAAGAATGTCTGTGTGCAACGCTCGTGACGTAACTCCACATCGACCAGCCCCCCTCATTAATAATCATGAACAGGTTACGTCACTGCACATGGAGTACCCTCCCCCTCATTAATAATCATGAGCAGGTGACGTCACTTCACATGAACCCCCCTCATTAATAATCATGAGCAGGTGACGTCACTCCACATCAAACAGCCCCTCTCAATAATCATGAACAGGTTACGTCCTTCACATGGACCCCCTCATTAATAATCATGAGCAGGTGACGTCACTCCACGAGGGGGGGCGGGGCGCCTCCTCCCCCCTCGGCGTCAACTGATAACCCTCACTACAAAGGCAGAACCCTCACGTCACGTGATCTCCGTAACGCTGTTGTTGAGACATCAAAGTAAAAAGGACGTCGTGATGAACAAGGGATTATAACCTTAAAATTAAATAATAGGTCTGTGTCACCGCGCCCTTACAAATTGCACACGAATTAATGCAATGAATATATCACGTCGCGGTCTGCTTTTCGCTTGCTAGTTTCAGATTTACTGCAATACACCCATCCTTGGACGGGCAAAAGGCTAGTGAAGGAATAATGATGTTAGGTGAGAGAGAACGAGACCACGCACACGTTGTCAAGTTCGAAACGGTGTCTGCTTTTCCAAGAATGCTCTGCAAGTCCGCGGGAATGTAACGGGGACGTTTCGGCCACGACAATCGCCGCCACAACACGAGAACATCACCCACCGAGGATAGAAATGCGTTGATGAGTCAAAGAAACCGTGGAACAGACGCGCTCGGCCTGGCACGATTAATTAAAATCGGATTGTTACGTTCACAATACGAGCATTGAATGGTTTCGCGTAAGAGTCGATGACCGCGTATTTGACGGGTCCATCATAGGTTGTAATAAGGCTTCGTGTCACCATGTCGAGGGGATAAAACACAACTCAAGAAGACCACGTGACGTCTGTTCGATGTCACGTGGCGGGAAGGCGAAATGGAGCAAACAAACAACGTAACGATTGGATCGTAAAAAAAAGGAGGCGAAAATAATGACGATCGTGACAGCTCGCACAGCCGCCGTGTTCTCGTGATTTCTCGTGACCTCTGCACTCTGGACGAGCAGCGCCGGGAATTCCACCCCGTGGGTGGTTCCACATCACGTGATCGGCCGCGCCCCGCCCCCCATTGTGACACTCAAGAGTCACGTGCGAGTTCTCGGGAGGTCACGCGGCTCGACTCGGCAAGACGACGACGGACTCTCGGTTTTCCGACGGCAGGTGGACCGCGCTTGTGAACAAATGGGTATTTGACGCCCGCGGCCGTCCATAAATGACGTCACGCACCTAGGGGGGCGGGGGGGGGGGTAAGACATTTGTGACGATGTGTGACGAGGGGGGGGGGTGAGAAATGTGACGTCACATCACTAATTGTTATAACAGTGCGTATTTAATGTGGCAGCGGCACATTAAATACGCACTACACTACAATGACAATAGTTTAAAGCGATTTGAAGCATGTTTTATTTTCAAAATGGTAATATGGTTTTGGTGGGGGGGGGGGGGGGAGAGCTTTGTGACGTCATATTTGAGGGGGGTTCTGACTTTTTGTGACGCCGTGTGACGAGGGGGGGGGGGGGTCAAAAATCGTCCAAAATCGCGTGACGTCATTTTTGGACGGCCCCTAGGGTTTCCACGACGTATTGCCCCGCGTGGTCCCGTTCTTGTAGGGAAGTAAACCGGTTACTTTAGGGAACAATGTATTAAATATTCTACGGCTTCACCCCCCCCCCACCCCATGTTATTCTGTATAGGTAAGCGAAACGAAGGTTTTCTATTGTCCGTGCTTTTATTTCGTCCAGGCTACCGTGGATGCAATGGAGAATATGCTCTGTGTCACGTGGCCGTTTTCAAAACCCTTGATAGACCCACGTGGCCAGCCGCGGCCTTGTTAAAGTATTCTAGTTGCACTGCAGTCGTTTGCACGCCCATCTGAAGAGCTCGCTAATGTTTAGTATCGTGATACATATATATAGATAAAACTTGTATTGCGATGTGAATAAACATCCCGGATTTATTTAAGGGACTGGTTGATGTTTTTGCGTTTTTCTTGTAAATTCCAGTGGTGGTGGTTGGTCATCAACATTCCCATCAAGAGGCTTAGCGATCGAGTGTCCAGGCAGTGCAACTGCGCCAGGGGTCCACGAGCCGGAGAGCACTTGGCGTCGGGGTACGAAGAGGGAGGGGGAAGACAGAGAGGGGACACCATTCCATCCCTTCCACCAGGGCATAATGCCACCACGACCGACAAAACATCAATATAGTCAGCCATCATGTGTCAACCATCATCCTCCTTTTCATTCATGCTCAACAATAAATTGTAATCCATTAGTGTCATCCTTTGTCCTCAACCAAGTTCACTCAAACCTACAAGTTCTAGTAATTACTTTAATAATTACAATATTTGATTTTTATTACAATATTGCATATAAGACTTTACATATATATAAAAAAAAATATGATGCTACGTATCCCTTGTCACTAATACTGCGTCCCATCCTTACAGATAAATAATTTGCATTGCATTTCTAGTTTCAAATTAAAGAAACAGCCAAAAGTGCCTACATGCACAAGCGCTTGCTCAGATCATTGACAGGCCTGCGCAAGTGGTGGAAATTCCACACTCATTGCCGGAACCAGTCAATGCACAGGACAAAAATTGTTCATGTTCAGCAAAGTGGTACTCATGTTATTCATCTGGAGGGACGATGGCAAAGACGGACCTAGTTGATCCCGTCCAGAATTTGAACATGGGCCCTTCTGAGTTCTTCTGGCAACAGCGACACTTAATCACACACCCAAGAGACGGCCGGGTGGCTCAGATCCTGGTCCTGCGCTCAATTTAGATAAATTTCATCTCCAAAAATAAATTGTTTGACTGTAATGCGACTTGCTGTAGCAGGGAGGGTGGGAAAGTGGTGTCCACTTTTGTGTGGACCAGGGGTCATTCATTTGAAGGGATCTCAGACGTAGCTCTGTGATATCCGCTTCCGTGCACCATTCTCCAACACGAAGGGCCACACTGCTCGGCGAGATCGGAATGGGTACGAGGCCTCAAGCCGTGACGGTAACTGCACAATCAGGATACGATTGTGGAATACGAAAGTGTAAAAAAAGCACACCACAATCAACTTTTTAAAACAAAATATATTTATTGATCTCCTGATTGACATCTCACACCATACAAGCATTAGATTTTAGAAATGTGCTCGGAATATTCCCAGTGTATCACAGCAAACCTGACGCGCGAAAATGTGGCTCCAGATTTCACGGCTCATTGAATGAAATGGGACGGTCACACAGCAGTGTCTAACACTAGAGGGCGGTCTCCATTCGTGATCACTCACAGTCACCCTGGCAGCCATGCAATGATCCATCAATTCATTCATTAACTTTTGATCCTTATCACATCGCAAGAATAAATTGTTTTAGATTCGTGAACATGTACGCACCTTTTGTTCTTTAGACTGACGTTCAAAAACCAACCGAGTACAAACGAAATAGAATCAAAACAGTTCGAACCAATCCAACAATGCAGAATGATAAAGACAAGATGGACAATCAAGACAAGGCAGAATGGGAAAAACCAGGCAACACAAACAGTTCAGACAAGACTGAGCAAGCCCGTACAAATGAGACAAGTCATTCACAAATAAATGTAATAATTTATTCTTGAATCATATCGTGACCCAGAATTGTGGTAATTCATTGCATCACACAGAATGTGAATCGATGGTTCAGTCAAGGAGGGTACACAGCCAAGGAGGTTGGTGTTGATGTTTCCTTAAGTCCATTATCAGTTTACTTACACTCAGATCTAGAGCCTGAACCCAGGATTGCACCACTTGGGAGCTAATTGTCTCTAATATGACAGAGGTAGCCCCGGTGGCTCAGAGGTGAAGGTGCCGAGCTGGCACTGCAGAGATCCAGGTTTCAAATGCAGGCAGCTGCCTGTGGTTAAACGGAGTTCTCACGTATGAGTGAGTTTATGGTCTCAGCCCGGTAACCCAAACATTACAAGTAAAAAAATAAAAATATGATGAGTTTGACTGTCATACAACCATTATTACTCGATGTAGGTAGGTGGAGTGGAAAAGTGCAGCGCCCTGTCGACCAGGGGGTCACTTGATGGGATCTCAGAAGTAGCTCTGTAGTATCCCCTTCCGTGGGCTGTTTTCCACATTCATATCTGTGCGAGAGATACGAATGTGAATACTTAAGTCTCACGGCACCAACGTTAAAATTGTGAATAAAAGTGTCTCGACTGTGAACCCGCTAAGATACCTAGGGCTAGAAATGTGGAACTTTGATAGAGACACCTGACCTATAGCTTGAACCCAAGAATCCAGGCTTTCCGGCAGGACTAAATGATAATGGTGAACCTTGATTATAGAGACCAAGATGCAGGGCTTAAACCCAAACCCCCCAAGAGGTTACTGATCACGCACCTCCGATTAACACAGTTGGCTACGCACGGTGCAAAAGAAGTTCAACATACATATACGTACATGGCCCAGTGGCTCTGAACCGGCCATTATGAACGTGGAGCGAGCCCAGGACAAAATGCTCTGGGGGTCTCCTTTACTCGCCCTTGTATCGGGGAGGACGCTTCTCCTTGAAGGCAAGGAGACCCTCCAGACGATCCTTGGTCGGGATGACCTGGAAACCACCACACAGACACGCGTCCTCCTTTTACTACAAAAACAAAGATCCCCTGTATAGACTTAACAGACAGTTGGGGCAAGTGCTGACAGTGAGCACAACCTCTCAAGGCCAGCACGGCACATGAGGGGGTGGGTGGCCAGCACCACACCGCATCAGGTACTCATTTGAGTCTGACTCGGCCTAGGACGGGTTCAGATAAAAGTCACTGGTGGTGTTGGCCCTCAGCGGAAATCGAACTTCGGTCGCCCGGTTCGTAGCTCAGCGCGCTAACCGCTACACTACTGCTGTCTATGAATTGTCACTACAGTTCACAGACACATGTACAAAGGCATACACATACACACAAATACAAAGTCTCACACACCCACAAACCCATACACCTTCCATTACTACAGGCCACTCAGCTCCAGGTCTCCCCCTTCCTCAGTTCCAAACACATCTGTCACTACAGTCGACACATCTGCAAGTCAATGCCATCACACATCATTCCATCTCTCCTCGACCCAGAACGACTCTCCCCGTTATACCTGGTACCCAGGGATCAAACCTAAATCTCCAGGAGTTTGTTCACTCAGTCACCCTAACGTGGCCAGCGTGAACCCTCTCACCTGCGCGTAGCACGCCTGCTCAAACGCCATGCCCGTGGTCAGGTCCACCTGTGGAAACAGCCACGGGAAAATCTATTAAAGTGAAAGCCCCCCACCCCCGTTCTGCCCATATCACAACGCTACAGCCAAACGGAATGGGACTCACAACCAAAATGTCTTGAGCTCAAATCGTCCCTCCCTAGGCTCCATAAATTCAGTATCATTTTATGGGATGTCAACTGTGGTTGTCCGATTGAGAAACTGTTCCCCATGTCATAGGATGGTGAAATTGACATCAGGAAATGGGTTCTTATGGGTTGTTGTTATATTTTTTTTATTTATGAACATTTTGTGGAGTGGTTGCTCAAGGCTAGAGAGGAAGACAGAATGGTGAACGACAAGAGAGCACAGGTAAAAGACAATGCAAATGAAATTGCAGTTAATGAGAATGTAAAAATAAGTGTTACTATGGGACAGTCCAGACGAGACAGAACCAACAATTATTACACTAGTTTGTTTTTTTTTTTACCCAGGAAAGCCTCCCCGAGTCTCATGGCTCTTTTTGAAGCGGGTCCTGCCAGGTTTTCCGCAGTAGGAGGGGAGGCGGGGGCGTCGGGGGTGGGGTGGGGGATGAATGTCATATAGATTATAATTGAGTAATGTGTGCCTTTTTTTTACTTGCCAAATTAGGGCCACGAAGCCAGCACACAATGGCCGACGCTCCTATGAATGACGTCGAAACAACACCTCACACATGAAGCAGTAAAGGGGCAGCACAAGTGAGACAGAACAACGCTGGTATACACGAGACATTGCAGACAAAGGCAGGCAGTGCACATGAGATGGTACAAAGGGAAAGAGGCAACAGATGTGGCAGCACAAATTAAACATTTCAGACTAAGCGTATCCAGACAGAAGAATAATGAGACTGTACATATGACACGACAGAATCCTTGAATTGGGACAATGTATAGCATTTTTAGGGGGGGGGGGGCGGCAGGGGCGGTGAGTCATACAAGCTGGCGTTTGTGTGTGAACCACGTGTTTGGGATTGTAATCGTGTCCTCAGGGCCCTGACAGTGCACGGTCGAGAGTCTCACCTCAACACCCCGATCGATGGCCATCTTAGCCATGCGGAGAGCAACAGGGGCCTAGGAGGGAAAGAAGATACACACATACACACGTGGGCATGTATATACTCGTACGTGTAAGCATGCTCACACACACACATGGTTCGTCAGTAAGAGTCAACATTACGCAAACGAAAAAGCTTTCCCGGAGAATCGTACAGACGATTGGTGCAATCAATCAATCAAACCTTAATACTGCACCCTTAAAAAAATCCTCATCAAATCGTCACTGAGCTCTTGACTTGTTATGTGCTGGAATTTACATATTGCTCCAGGTACTCATTTGAGGATGAGTAATTGTAGGGGAGGCTCAGGACTGTTTGAGATGTTCGCCGCTGTTACTGCTCATAAGTGCATATCAAACTCAGGTCGCTGGGTTCTTGGCACAGTACGGCACATTAATTACCCCGCTACCACTCCCCACACATATACATATACTGTGAGGGAAAAAAAGTATTTGATCCACTGCTGATTTTGTACGTTTGCCCACTGACAAAGAAATAATCAGTCTATAATTTTAATGGTAGATTTATTTGAACAGTGAGAGACAGAATAACAACAACAAAAATCCAGAAAAACGCATGTCAAAAATGTTATACATTTATTTGCATTTTAATGAGGGAAATAAGTATTTGACCCCTCTGCAAAACATGACTTAGTACTTGGTGGCAAAACCCTTGTTGGCAATCACAGAGGTCAGACGTTTCTTGTAGTTGGCCACCAGGTTTGCACACATCTCAGGAGGGATTTTGTCCCACTCCTCTTTGCAGATCTTCTCCAAGTCATTAAGGTTTCGAGGCTGACGTTTGGCAACTCAGATCAAATACTTTTTTCCCTCACTGTACGTACATACATGCATATGCACGAATATAAGTTTATCCCTGTTTATCCAGCCAAACGAGAAGCTGCCTGGCCATGCGGTGGGGCTGGGCATGAGGGAAATGTGACCCAGCCAACGCAATATTGCCTGCCGGAACAGTAAACAGATGGCACTCTACCGCTGCCTCTGGGCATGTGTGTTGTTACATCATCGGATAACCTCACATAATCCAACCTGGTTAACCCCCCCCCCCCCCCAGAATGGATCGTGTGGGCAGCGAGCCTCAAGACGGATTGCACCCGGGGCAGTGTTAACATTTCGAGCAGGCACAGGGGTGGTTCTGTCATGCGGCGCGTGCGAGTCACGTTGACCTCTACCGCTCAGCGTCTGCTGCTCGAGAGTTTAGTGCAGCCTTCAGTGGGACCCAGTGGGAGGCTTTACAACAGTCTCTGTGGAAGGCAGCCTAGCGTCTCGGTCAGACAGGGTTTAGAGACAGATTTTGCGATCGCTTTGTCAATCCGCTGCGAGATGAAGGCCTGTCCACATTGTGCCGATCATGGGGGTGTTGTTCGACCATACTTTACCACGGCGGGTCGCCGATGGTCGGTGAAGCAAAACCGGCCCTCAGGACTGGATTAGATATTAGCTTTGGCCAGGAATGGGAACGCAGGTCACCGGGTTCGTAGCGCAGTGTGCCAACCACTGCATGGTATTATATTAATCACCTAAAGACAGAGCAGGTTACTGAATAGCGGGTTACTGAATAGCGAGTCTGAATCGTGAGAATTCGTGAAATCTTAGAGGAGCTGTGATTGGTTTCTTGTTTAATTTGTATAGAATAATATTTTACAGCCCCTTGTCAATCCACTGATGGATGAAGGCCTTCCCAAGCTGTGTCAGTTGCGAGCATTATTTGACCATACTTCACCACGCTCAGAAGTTTACAATGGCTGCGCATCTCTCTCTCTCTCTCTCAGGAGGTTCACATTGGTCGTGCTTGTTGTGTGTCCCTCTAGGAAGTTCACAATGGCCATACTTGTTGTGTCGCTCTCTTTTCGGAGGTTCACAATGGCCGTGCTTGCTCTGTGTTCCTAAGTTGAAAACTAATTTCTTAAGAACTGCTTTTTGCGTTTAGTTTGTTGTCCTTCCCCCGCACTTCTGATTAGCACGGTTGACTACGTTAAGGTGCAAAAGAAGTTCAACATTCATCCCTTTTGAAAAATTCACAATGGCCCTGGTTGTGTGTTTGTAGTTAGCGCGCTGTGCTACAAACCTGGCAACACGAGTTCGATTCCCGCTCATGGCCAACACCAGTGACGATTATCTGAAACGGTCCTGGGCCTCCCCTCGGTCGCCTCAGCCTCAAATGAGTACCTGGTATGTAAGCATCGCACCGGGTACATCGCACCAGGTGTGGTGATGTCCACCCACCCCCTCGTCTGCCATTGCTGGCCTTCGTAGGGGCTCGCTAAGGGCACTTGCCCCAACAGTCTGTTAAGGCTATATGGGGGATTTTTGTCTTTTTCGTCTCTCTCACAGGAGGTGTCACGATGAGTCGGCACCTGCGTGCGTATCTCGCGGGCGAGCTCGAGGGCGGAGAGGAAGGCGGCGTCCCCCAGTTGGTTCTGAGCGACGTCTCGCGACACGAGGCCCAGCACCGCCGCCTGGGCCCCGTCCAGCACGCGGGCCGAGAAGATGAGCTCCTTCGCCACGGAGGGTCCGACGAGGCGGGGGAGACGCTGGGTCCCACCTACACGGGGGACGCGCGGGACACGGCACTTGAGCACGGGGGGTGCGGGGACACGGCGGGAACACAGGGACTGGGACACGAAGACACGCGGACGCAGAGACCCGGGGACATTGGCACACGGAGACACACAGACGCTGGGCCTGACACTTGCTGGCGCAATAACGCTGTGGTCTGTGATGTCCCTTGGAGGTGAAGTGGGTGGATCATGCAGACTTTTTCTAAACCCACGCGGCTGCACGGCAATCAGGAGGTGGCAGGACAGCAAGTGGTTTAACGAACTCGTTCGTGCAGAGCTTTCAGTGTCGTTAGTTCGTACGCACGGTAGATTTTGCCTGATGACCTCTTGACCTTAATGTCACGTATTTCTTTTACACTTACAACAATTACCCAGCCTCAATGAATCTCAAGTCTCTTTTCAGGAGGGTCCCTGATACAGCTGTTTGTCCAATTATTTGTTTTGTCGTGTGGGGGAAAAGTTGGGGAATACCTGGGGCAAAACCCGCACCGATGAGGGCATAAGACCCAATTTGTCTACAAAGATGGGCTAATAAACCCCCCCCGCTGCATTGCCACGTCCTGGCTCTCTCACACTCAACTCAGCGGATTTTCGCAAAGCTGCAGGGTACACCAACCCTAACCCTCCAAAAATTCCGGAGGACAGGCATGCGCCACCATGGTACGGGTGCAGTGTACATGCAAGTACTTTATATTCAACACACACACTACACACGTGTAAGTATAATTAGCAAACACTGGGTCCGTTACAATTCTCCCCTCGAGTGATTTGATGAACCATCACGATTTGGGGTCAGAATTCAAATCAGATTCCATTATTTTTTCTCATTAAAAAAATATAATCTAAATCGTATTTTGTGTAATTGATTCTGTCTTGTTTGCACAACTTCATGTGGATTCCATCAGTCTAAATGTAAAATTAGTAATACCAATTTACAGCCTTTATCAATCTACTGCTGGATGAAGATCTCCCCACACCATGTTAATCGTGTAGGTTGTTTAACGACACTTGCCCACACCGGTCAGTGTGAATAAGTGAAGAGGTTAGGGTGAGCACTGGTTCAGATATTACTTTCCACTGATAGCCATGACTGAGAATCTGGTCACTTAATTCACAGCGCAGCACGCTAACCGTTGTGCCACTGCTCCATCCCCAAATTATATACATTTTTTACAATTAGTGAATTATCAATTCAAATATGCATAATTCTATGCCTGTGCCGTGAGCATAATATTTTAATTAATAGATGAATTAACCAATTGTTACAGTACTTAATGTGCACGGTAGATGTATACCCGACCGTACGCATACATTATCCTCTGTCCACTCTCTTATTTCCATCTCTCTCACGGCCTCCCACTGCTCTCTCCCATTTTGCTGGCTCCCCCCCCCCGTCCCTTCTCTACCCGACATTCACACATGACCTACATTCGTGTAAAAAGTAGGTCAATGCGCTTTTACCAACGCTTGTCTTAACTCTTGAGATCTCATCCAGAAACTGCGAGATCATGAATTCAAACCCTGGGTCAGAATGTTCTCCCGGGGGTGGGGGGGCAGCAAGGATTGGAGGGGGAGGGGAGTTCACAATGGCTGTGGCAGAGACTATGATCTGGCACCACTGAGATTCTGGGTTCAAGCGCTGGGTCTGGGTTTCTCCCTCACTCTCTTTGGGATCGTAATGGCCTGACAGATACTGAGACAACGCTTATGAAATGCGGGGTTGAGCCCTGGCTCTGGGTCTCTGTCTCTGTGGGCTCATAATGGTAATTTTTCAGATTGCTAAAACATTACTGTCGAGAAACTGGGTTCAAGCCAGGGGTCTGGGTTTTTCTGCGTGATCCATAATGGGTGTGACATGATGCTGAGAAAATACTTGTGAGATTCTGTGTTCGAGCTCTGGGTCTGGGTCTCTCTCCATTGGTTCATAATGGCTGTGCCACAGAAGCTGTATCATCACAAATGAGACCCTGGATTCTTTGTATGGGTGTCTCATTCATAGAAAAAAATACATAGTTGTTTAAGTTTTTATTTTTGAGATGGACTGATAAGACAATGGTTTATTTGAGATGTTTTTGTACATGAACCTGGGATGCGCTGCATGCAGACCACTTTAGACCCGCAAATTGTCTTTTATTATATCTCTAGAAGCTCAAAATGGCAATGCCAACGACAACTTGATGTCGAAGCCATGTAAACAGGGTAAACTAAACCCGATATTGTATAAAAAAAGAAACTGCGAAATAAATGTCAATACATTCAAGGAAATAAAAGATTGTGAATCTTTAGAAGCGTATTTTAGGAACTCTGTGGGTAACACCTACTGTGTGACCCTGTGCTTGTAGGGCACCAGAAGATGGGAGGCCAACTGAGAGGGGAGGACGTGTGAAGGGAGTGGTGCTGCAGTGTTCCGGGTTCTGGACTCACCAGCTCCGGGAATGATGCCGAGCTTGGTTTCAACAAGGCCCATCTTGGCTGTAGAGGCTGCGGGAAGAGTTAACGCAAGGACGCTGTAATCAGTCGGGACGCCGCGACGGGGAAACACTAATCCAATGTATTGTGCGATATGAGGTGCGCGACAATCATGTTGTTCCTTTTGCAAAATGTCGGCATATTGTGATAACCAATGCTATTTAAAAATATATATGGTCATTTCAAATAGAATTGCTATTACCAAGTTAATTAGTGCTTTAAAAACCATTTTCCAGAGTAAGTGACAATTTTGTGATTATATAAACATTCTCGTTTTAATAGTTTGCTGATTTAATTATTATTTGTTATTGTGTAGCTGACAGCGTGTGTGTATTATGAACATTATAGATTTTAACGATGCAATGATTACAAGACTTATGGTCGGATTTTGTTGAGTGAACTGCGGTTTAATTTTTAAGTTCAAGTTCATTTTACATCATGGGACCTCCTTTGTCAGTACCAAAATATGAGAATAGGTTTTCCCCTTTTTTCTGGCAACAAACACGTGTTAAGATGTTAAAACACCAAACTGAAACCTTCTACAAGGAATCATGTCTGCATTAACCACAATACTTGTGGTCAGAATGCAAACAAAAAACATACTCTGATAATATATGATGCATTGTCTTAGAAACGGATTGGTCCACAACCAGAGACAGCTTTCTTTGGAGCCGAGTCTCAAATGGTGTTAGACCAGAGGACGCCAAAAAGTTCATTTTATTTAACAAGGTGAGAACTTATTTGGAAGAGTAACCTGGATCAGGAAACTGACAAAAGCAAAACAAATAAAAACAGTATGACAAAATATGCATTTCCTAACCACTACACTAGCGCCCATACAACAAAGACCACCCGTACACACACATATGCATATGCATGTACACGCACACGCACGTACACAAATACATACCTGCTACGCGGATGTCACAGGCGAGGGCCATCTCAAGGCCGCCGCCCAGAGCTGCCCCGTCCAAGGCAGCAATTGTGGGGACCGGCAAGTTTCCTGAGGTCACGGGGTCAGTCGCTCAGCAGTCAGGTCATGAGGTCAGGTTACGACGCACATAGTGCATGCATGACCAGGTGGGAGCCCACTGTTCTGTTTGCAAGGGAAACCTGGGTTGAAACACTGGATGAACAATATCATTACAATCCCTGACTTAGGAGTGAGGGGAGTAATTGCATTAGCCAAAGTGTGACTTGGATGAGATTACTTTGGGAAGGAGCTGTACTACGTGGTGCCATCAGAAAGCGGTGCATTCACTTTGTAGTGCATCACTTCTCTGTTCCCATATATATGCTCCCCGCCTTCACCAACTCACACTGACCAACACACTTAAGTATGGTCAAATAACCCCCGCCAACCTGCACAGTGTGGGGGAGGCCCTTAATCCAGCAGCGTAGTGACTAAGGCGCTGTAATTGTAAGGATAGCTACCACAATCCCGTAATGCACTGGTCTTTTCTACGTGAGATTGAGTGACTTATGTAGGATGTTTAATCATATAATTGATCAAGTAACCATATTATTTTAATCAGTAATCACAGATTACTTAACAAAAAACATAAATACTTCCAACATTACTCCTGCCTTAGTCGGGCGCAGGGTTGCACACGTCACTAATCCAGGACAGTAAAACCTCTCTGTTTCCCCGATTTTACTTTCGCAAAAATTCGGTTATTCGCGGTTTTATATTTGTATGCCAGTGCAAGCTTCGCACCTTTTTCCTTCGACTATTCGCGATTTGGCAACACGGCATCACGGGGGAGGCGAGCTGTACTTGCTCAGTAAAGTAGCATTGTTTTTTTATTTCATTTCCATCGTGGGGGTCTAAGCGTCAAGTGAGTGGAGGAAGTGTGAGCGAGAGTAAAAAGTAGAAAAAAGTCATGAGTTTAGCTCAAAAAAGTTGAAGTGTTGGGCTGGCGTGCTCATCGCAATAGTGCAATCTGCTGACCAATCATCATCACGCCCCCATCATCATCCAAATTTACAATGAAACCTACTGATATTTTATTTTCTTTCTTCTATTTCTTTGGATATTTTTGTTATTATATATTTGTTTTTTTTTTTTATATAGAAGTGAATTAAGAATATAGATGCTAATTATGTATAGAGTACTGTTTTTGTTTTGCTGCCTTGCCCAAGCTTTTATTTGGTGTTAAAGAACCTGCAGGAATTGATGTCCTTATGCAATTTGTCCTCATACTTTTTTTGTGACTTGCTTAACTTTCCTATACTTTGCACTCCTGTTGTTATATTGTTTGTTGTCGTAACTTTCTGACCCACACCGACTGAACATCTGTGAAAAAAAGCTTCATTGCTCATCGGATTCTTCCAGTCTAAATAAAGATTCTGATTAATGTTATTAAACATTTTCATTTTCTCCAGTTCAGTCAGACACGGGATACCTAACCCCCCGTTTCCCATATAAACATAGGTACCTACATTCACGAATTCTACTTTCGCCGCAGATTTTCAAGAACCGAACCCTCGCAGATGTCAAGGCTTTACCGTACAGTGAAGAAGAGGGTTGGTGGTTGACACAAATTCGTGACACTCACTCCCTACCCCTTGCCAGGGTAAAAGCAGTACAGAAAGTGGATTAATGCCCATATGTATTGCATCTGTACTGACATTGTTACCCCTCAATCGTGTGGGTTTTCTGCGGGTACTACATGTATAAACACTCGTTAATGGGGTTGAGCAATAATCCAAATATAGGATCACAGAGCTTGGCAATTGTTAGCACTGGTTCTGGCTGCAGTCCCACTTGTCTGTGGATTCCCACGGCTCTTTTAACAATTCTCTCTCTCTGTGGAGAGTGAACGAATACTGTGCACATTACAAATTCTATGTTATGATTATTATCCAGTAGCGTTGGTTTAGGAGGTCATGCTCTATGGACGACTCAGAGTCCTGGTCTCCTGGAGTGTCAGTCAGAGTTCCCCTCAATCCGCTCCCAGCCTTGGCCGACTGTCTCACCGAGGTCCACCGACAATTGTCGAAGGTCTGCTACAAAAGGACCAACTTCTAACTCAGGCATCCGTGCTCTTTCCTTGAGATCGGCCCCTGTAAGAGATTGGCACAGGTGGGGGTAAGAGGTTTGTAAAGAAGGAACACACAGCAGAAATGCTATACAGCTCTTATCTTACAGGGTCACACACACCTAGGATGCAGGTGCTCTAAGAGACACCACTGCACTGCAAGTTCTGCGGTGGGGTTTTTTTTCAACTTCTCTTTTACCCCAAATGTATTCTCATTGAGCCACTGTTGCAAAGCAGGACAACCATTCGTTGTCACAAAACGCCTTCGGGTAAGGATGACAGTCAAACCAATAGTTTACGTTCTCACGGCTGGAACATAGCCGAATTAACAGCACAGCCAAATTTAACATGATGCTTTTTGTGTGCAGTCGTCAGTGACCGGGCCTATTACATCAACTCGCGACACGGGGGAACATAGTTTAATCACAGGCGGCTGCTGGGATTCAAAACCAGACTCTACGCGGTGCCAGCTTGGCGTGCTGACCTCTAGGCCACCTGGCCAGCTCTGACTGCCGTATGTTTCCATACAGTGGCACTGCACAGACCATCACAGCATGATGGCGCCACCACAGTGCCATGGCAGCGGTTATTAGATCTACGTAACTTGGAAGATAACGGACAGAATATTAAGTTGTGGTCAGAGAGACCCTGCACGGATGAATTTGAAAGAGTGGAGGCACAATATGAAGCCGTGACAGCATTGACCTTGGAAGGATTGTTCCAGCAGCTAATGGTTACGGTTATGATCAGGACTAAAAATCGAATTTGTGTGAGGATCAGAATTAGTGTTCGGGTCAAAATTCATATTCGTGTTCGAATAATTGTGAGGGCTAGTGTTAGTGTTATGGCTGATATCAGTGCTAGTGTTGGATTTCGGTGTTGAGTGTTATATTTCAGGCTCGTGTTCATGTTAGGGTTAGGGCCAGTGTGAGTGTAAGCGTCAGGGCTAAGTAAGGTGTTCATTTCACCTGCACAGAAAATTCCCGGCACCTCGCTCCTTACAATGACAACTCTCACAGTGCGGTTCCATCTCACAGCCACCATCACCTCCTTTAACTGACACATTAACAACATCGTGAGAAACATCACCACCAACACCATCATCATCATCATTGCATACAACACCACATGACAAACGAGTGAACCCGTTAAACTCCACCAAATTCAATCTCTGATCGACCCAGTACCTAAGATCTAATCTTAACATCTCATCTAACTCCATGCGCAATTGCCATTCCTGCTCCAGTTGGTACTCTGATCACTGTCTAGTCAATAGAAGGTTATTTTCATTTATACAGCGTCCATATCTCAAGACGCTGTACAGAAACAATGGGCATATTTATTTAATAGAGATCACCAGTCGAAGGCCAAGAATAAAGGGAAATCTTCTTGACCCTGGACCTCCCACTGAGTAAAGATTGCTTAGGCAGTAGAGCACAGTGGGAGCCAACCCTGAATTGTCAAACCTACCATTAGGACCGAAAAACAACCCACCTGGCCGGGTTTTACAATGACAGTGATTTGGATGGCTCACATCATTTCTATTCTTGCTTCCCCTGGCGCACTGCCAGTGTATTTTGCAACAAACGACCGCCAAATTTGCTTCAGCTGTCACTGACGACATTCAAGTGGGCATGACAGTCTCTGTCTTTAACTTACACACATTTAATTAACTAAACTTTTCCACCACCATGATTTAACCTCAGCCGCCTCGAGGCCACACTTTTTTTTAAACGTGAGCTTATAAAAAAAATGTCATTGTTCATACTTCTTATCTCATACCGACTACAAGGCTGCAATGAACAAATGTAAACATGCCATCATGCAAGGATCAACTTGACTCCGTCAACCACAATTTTGTGAAAATGTAATTAAGTTGGTCAGCTCTTGCCCTTTCTGATCCTATGCCAAAACAGTTTACAACCACTCCTGCAAGAGATCACTTCCACAAATGAATGACGAATTGTTTATTCGAATGCATTTTCCATCCATCATCATCAGTGGCAGCAGTAGTAACTTCACCATCATGAAAAAGTCATGATATAAAAAATGACCAAACACCAGACAATGAAGAATTATTTTGAACAAGAGTAACTTGTTGATGCTTTTTTTATATATTTACCATTTTAAAACGATTAACACTATTAGCAGCAGCAACTATGATCAATGTCACGTTACACGTACACACGTGTTGTGTACGTGTTGCATGCATTGTTATGCACGGTCAACACACTTGGTGTGTAGGTGTTGTTTGTGCATTGTTATGCTGTATGTGTTATATATGTGATGTGGCATGTGCTGTGCGTGCTATACGTGTGTTGTGCATTCATTATCTATTGTTCCTTTGCGTTGAAGGTCCGATTGTACGTTGTATGACTTACGGCCTTCACTAGGGTTTTGCCGAGTGCATTTTTTGCTTCTGGGCGATTTAAACCCACGACGACGATTCCTAAAGACACCACACAATCACCATTACTCCACACAGCATCACCACGATAACCATCACCACAATCACCGTCACCACACACACACACCATCACACACCATTGCCACACACATCACATTTAGGATGTAGGCCACACAGCTGTACAAACGGGACCCTTAATGAGACGTGACAAAACATGGGCAAACACAATCGATTCTTAAATCAAATCGTTAACATAATTTGCGACAATTATCCCTAATCGAGTCTCGGTATGGGCGTGATGATTCCCCCACGGAAAATAAAAAAAACAGTTTTCATTTTCGTACACTTCTCACAATGCTGTATTCGGAGCACTGAAAAAAATCCGTCTTTTTACTTAACAAAATGCCAAGATTTCGATTTAAAGCTTTCGTGACTGCAAGGATTCATCTTCTTTGGTTCTTTCGGTAAAGTCACGTAGAATGAGAATAAAATAATAAAATAACACAGTAAAATTCTCACGACGTTTCGGCCACAACGCAAGCGGCCGTCTTCAGGTGAAAGGTACAGACCTGTCGGGACGAAGCTCTGTCGTGAGAATTTTACTGTGTTATTTTATTATTTTATTCTCATTCTACGTGACTTTACCGAAAGAACCAAAGAAGAAAAATGCCAAGATAATATGCATTGAGGTTTTTTTTTACATTCTCTAGGATTTAAATAACATTCTGCTGAAAACATTACATTAAAAGGAGCACATTTTTTTAAAAGTTAAAGCAATTTTAAATTAACCGTGTCGGTCTTCTGTTATTCATTAATCTCAATTCTACGGCATCGCTGTTATACGCGTTCTGAACTTACTCCGCGGTTAAACTCAAATGTTTATACTGGTAGGAACGAAGTTGTAAACTGAGTGTACCAGCCTGCAATAGATTAATGTGTCCGTCCGTCCGTCCCCTTTCAATACTTTAACGAAGTGAAATCTCGTGCTGTTGGGGTGTAAAAATAAAATTGCGCAAAATTCCAATATTCCTACCAGCCCACCCTGCAGGGACCTGTTTTGTCACACGGAAAACACCGTTTAGCCAGGTACCCAGCGAGTTTCGGTGGCAACAGCTAACAGCAGCCACTAAGGGGCCATCCATTCAATGCGTACGCATGGAGGAGGAGGAGGGGGGGGAGTTAACCCAAATGCGTTCGCTTGAGTATGGGGATGGGGGGTCTACTGACAATGTACGCATAGGAAACGGGGAGGGGGGGGGTGAAGTCTCGATAATAATACAGCCGGCGGTGGACTATCTGTTTGCGTAAACAGGTTAATATTATTAATCACTGATCGTTTCTGCGTGGATTAAACATCGGCCGTTCTATAGGATTCGGGGGGGTGGGGGGGGTAAAAAGTCCGCGTAGGCCTACAGGGAGGGGGGATGGGCCAAGTTTTGACAGATTTTCGCGAACCTACGAAATGTATGGCCCCTAACAACAGAGATATTGTTGTGGCGAGGAAGCCAGCCAGCCCATGTTTCCCACTGCAAGACGCTCGTGCTTGCTTTGCCGCCTCTTAATGCGCTTTCTCAAATGAGCATGTTTAGTACGCAATACGATAGAGTCCGGTACTTTCAACAATTGTAAATAAATCAAACGATTATTTATAACAATTAAATGAAGAATAGCAACAATCGATTCACTGGAGGTGCTGGGTCGTATAGCCCTCCCCGTGTCGACTAGAGCGGTACTTCACAAGCGGTGTCAGCGGAGTTTTTAAAAGGGTTTTGGAAGAGGTTGCTTTGATTGTTGACTCGGATAGGAGAAAAATATATTTTTTTACACTTATGAAAATATGTTCCTGAATTATTTTTGTATATAATCTGATATTTAAAAAAATGTCTGTTTATTATAAGTAAAACAAATATTTGCTTAATATATGCATTATTATTACTCCTACAGATGCCGACCTGTAACCTTGCAGAAATTTCGGTGGAAATTATGTTTCTGTGAAGTATTTTTGTTAAAACTAGCACGAAGATTTTGATGTGACCGTCCGTCCCCCGCCAGCCAACAAGCAAAACTTTGTATGATACAGTACGGTACAGTATAACATTATTACGTCTTTATTATGCTTTCCGTTAACCTTCATGTCACAGGCATTTCTATTTTAAAAATACAGTAACAGCAGTGGCGGTCACGTCCACGTGGGGGCCGCTACATTAGGAACACGTTCTGGAGGCTCACATCCAGCAGACGTGTGGCCTGCTCGTCATTAAAAAAAAAAAACATTAATCCATCTCCCTCGCAACCGTCACGGAGCAACTGTTACGTAGCAACGGTTGCTAAGCAATTCGAGCTCAAACCCCCCCCAACCCCTCCTCCGAAACCCCCCCCCCCCCCGCGGTTGTTATGGTGACCGCACCCACCCTCGTCGTCGCCCTCCAGGTACCGCACGGTCACCTCCTCGCGCGGGCCCGGGGAGGCGCCTCCTAGGGTGGCGGCGCCGCCGCCCCCGGATCGACGCAAGCCGATAGAGAATCCAGCCGAGGACGGGCATCCGCTAGGCCTCCACGGGGTCGCGCACGGAGCTGCCGCTCTCGGGCGCGCCGCGTCGGCCGCCAGGCGCGCGACGCAGCGCGCCCGGGCGAGCAAAGCGACTCGAGAGAACATCGAAGGGGAAAGAAAGTAAAAAAATAAACGTCAGTCGTTGTAGGTTTGCGCCTCGCGTAGCCCACCTTGCCGCGGCGTTTTAACGTTCAGCTGATGGGGATATTTGCCCGCAACCCCCCCCCACACCCCACCGTGCACTTTAAACCAAGTGGGGGGTGGCAGAGAGAGGGAGGGGGAGGCGTGGAGGGAGCGGCCGGCGACGCCGACTGCAGCGGCTGCAGCGATTGGCCTCCTTGGTGGGGGTGGCGACAGCCCACGGCGTGCCGGGTGCGCTCCCGGACAGATCCCCCCCCCACCCCCCATCCTATCCACCCCCCCATCCCCCCATCCTATCCCCTTACCCACCCACCCACCCCCCATCCCATCCTATCCCCCCCACCCACCCACCCCCCATCCCATCCTATCCCCCCCACCCACCCCCCATCCCATCCTATCCCCCCCACCCACCCACCCCCCATCCCATCCTATCCCCCCCACCCACCCCCCATCCCATCCTATCCCCCCCACCCACCCACCCCCCATCCCATCCTATCCCCCCCACCCACCCCCCATCCCATCCTATCCCCCCCACCCATTCACCCCCCATCCCATCCCCCCCACCCACCCCCCATCCCATCCCCCCCACCCACCCACCCCCCATCCCATCCCCCCCACCCCCCATCCCATCCCCCCCCACCCCCTATCCCATCCCCCCCACCCCCCATCCCATCCCCCCATCCCATCCCCCCCACCCCCCATCCCATCCCCCCCACCCACCCACCCCCCATCCCATCAACCCCACCCCCATCCCCCCCACCCACTCACCCCCCATCCCATCCCCCCCACCCACCCCATCCCCCCACCCACCCCCATCCCATCCCCCCCACCCACCCCCCATCCCATCCCATCCACGGATCCGAGTGGAGTCTGAGCTGAGCCGGCGAGATTCACTCACAACGAGACAAACACGAAGGTTCGTGTTTGTCTCGACCTAAGGGCTGTTGGGGCAAGTGCTGTTAGCGAGTCGCACCTGTGAAGGCCTGTGGTACACGAGAGGGGGGTGGGTGGCCAGCACCACGCCCGACCGCCTTTGTTTCCCCGGCGGCGATGATTTTACACACCGCACCAGGTACTCATTCGAGGCTGAGTTGACCTCAGAGGACCGGTTCAGATTAATGCTTCACTGGTGTTGGTGGCCGTGAGCGGAAATCAAACTCGGGTTGGCTGGGTTCGTAGCGCAGCGCGCTAACCGGTACACACACAAGCAGCAACGACTCATGCATTGAGTGTCCTTTATTTAACCGCTGGTGACCACATTGAGCTGAACAAACTGCCTCTATGGAGAGTGTGAAGACGAACCTGTGAAGTGTGGACTTGTTGAATAAAGGTGCCTCCTGGAAACCCTTGTCTCCGAATCGTGACACTACGTTAACATTACCTCTGAATATCGATTCAGTATTCTTTATTTAACCATTCCTTGTCCATTATTACGACTACTTTCATGCAATGTTGTTTCACTGAGAATTGACTCGTGTAATTAATTCTGTGCACCAATGTCATCCATATAACCTTTAGTGACACATTACACGGATCATATGAACATCGAACAATAAACGTCTGTCCAGTTGGCGTCAACATTTTATTTGGTAAGTCAGTTTCACAGTTTCACATCACATCTCAATGTCTCTTCCTCAACATGTCTTTAATTCCTTTCCTATAAGTTATTTTATTAATTATGTGTCCTTGATTTAACTAAGAATGGATCCCATTGACAACTCTGCATATTAAAATAGGGCTATACCAAATAAAATCAACTGAAAACTGAAATGAAAAGAAAGCTGCAGAGTTGGTCTCAAAATAATTTAGACACACAAGTCACGTACAGCAAGTTCGCAAAACAATTGCAGGTATCAATTATATGGACACAACTGGAACACATCGCAGAGTATGTATACCAAGGGGAGTTCATGAATGCAGACTTACGATCAAAATTATTAAATGAAGAGTCAGACAAGAGCAGGTTGGAGTGCCTTTTGAAAACTGAACTTCACACTGAAAAGCAACATTGCAATGTGTCTGAATAAGAAAGTGTTTTAATCAATGCGTATTACTGTGTCAGATGGATCACAGGACGTTCACAAAAGAGAACGGAAACGAAAGGTCCACGCTTCAATTGCAGCGAGAGAAATAAAGAAGAACCACGTAGATCAGAGAACAAATGCAAGTTTAAGACATCGTCCCGACTGTTAAGAAAAAAATCAAGTGTGCTTGGGCAGGCAGGACACGTTGCTTGAGGGGACGATGGTCGGTGGTCGAAACGAACATGACGCCCCCGATAGTGCATCCACCGTGTAGACAGAGCGATGCAATGAGCTCGTGTGTAGAAGCCACATGGATTGTTGCACCAAAGACCGTGGTAGAACGACTGCTTTTGGAGGCCTTAATACGTCAGTGGATAGATCATTGCTGGTGATAATGCTGAGCATAACTTAACCCAATTGTGCATAGTTTTAGTGAAAATTACAATTGCTTCCATCAATCCACAGAGTGGAAGGGAAGAGAAGAGGATTTGGGGTTGGATGGAGTGGGATGCTCAATGGCCCTTAGCTGTGTGGCCCTTGACGCCTTTGGCCTATACAGCTCGGATCTGGTTTTTAATTAGCATGGAAACAAACCGCTGTGGGTAATTTCTGGAACAGCCCTGGACAGCCTGTGTCCGATTTCTAATTATCATGGAAGTGTATAGTTTCTGTACTGCCTCCTACAGATGCCGACCTGTAACCTTGCAGACTAGGAGTCTCATTGGACAAAGTGATCTGTGTGTGATCCATCAATCCCAACTCAGGAGCACTGCCATTAAAAGAGTGTTCTACAAATACTTGAGACATTTCAGTTCCACTTGTAAACACACACACACACATCCACACAAAGACCATGATCCTCTGCAAGTAATGCCTTATAGACTTTTGGGGAAGGTATTGTTAGCCAGCATGGTATAGAAGGGAATGGTGTGGCTAGCACACCTAGGTCAAATCAAATAAGGCTGAATTGACCGAGGAAACCCAGGAATGGATCATATACCATGTCTTATCCTGGGTTGTGAATCCAACAAATATTGTTGGGGCGTTAGTGCAGTACCCAATTAACTCACACGTGCATACACATACCTATGAACACACATTCAGGTTCATGAGAAATAAGAGAGTTTTACTGTCACTGAGAATATAAGATATGTCTGAACTTTTCAGCTGAGTCGTCTTCAGGAAATATATTTCCTTGTCATTGAGTTGCTACTCATTTAAGTTCACTGGAGCAGCAACTTAATATCTTACGCACGCGTGCGCGCATACACCCACACACATGTATACATACATTGATGCGTATATAAATAATTGCCACGTTTATTAGTGTGTGTGTGCCAATCTACATTCTGTCTCTATCAGTGTTCACGTGCGATCAGGTGATTAGCCATGTCAATATACAGCAGCGTTGGCCAATCCATGGATCGCAATCCATAGGTGGATCACAAATTATTTTTTGTGTGGATTTCAGGACAAATGAGAAACAAACACTTAACATAAGCACACGGCAATGTTCATCACGGCTGATGGCGAATACAAATCCTCGCTTTAAGGATTCATACGTATAAAACTAAAAACCTTCCACCAATAAATGGCGCTATTACTTTGTCTATAGCATGTTACAGGGGCCAACCATCCCGTTGTTGGTGATAGCTTTGCCGTGGATCGCAAAATCCCCTGAGATCCCCCAACATGGATCACAGTGCTTAGTGTAATGGCCACCGCCGATATTATACAGGGGATACAACCCAAAATAAATATAGAATTTCTGGTACAGATATACACCCCACGTTGTATGTTCTGGGCTGTTCAGCATACTGTTTGAAGTTTCAGGAAGTAAAAAAAATGGTGACATAAAAAACATTGTCAGTCAAAGCGCTCCGATGATGTCACTGCGTTAACATATTAAAATTTATGGGAGCGATTTCACATTTATGTCATGAGTGTTATAACACATTTCATCCTACCTTTAAAATATCCCTTTTTTAATAATTTTACAAAGTTTCAAACTCATATCAGACAGCCCAGAACACACAGCCGAGGTGTGTGTCTACAATATAAGTGCTTATCAGATTTTTGGGTTGCATATTTCCTTGACCTGATAATAACAATATTCACATACACAATTTTATTTGAGCGATACTGATGGAACTGTAATTGCAATCTCAATTCATCTTTAACTCCCGGCGCGATTGTCAGCATTTGCGGTGGTCATGTGCATGTGTTCATGGTCCCCGGTGTCTTCTGTCCACATCCCCCGTGCTTGTTGATGCCAACGCGACCCCCAGCAGCCACCGCCCCCTCAATTATTGACTGTCGTTTTTGGGGGCTCGTCCGGGACACTTGAGAGTCAGCCTCCCCCAGTGATGGCCGAGACACTTTGAGCCGTAGCTTGTGAGGCAGCGCACTGCGAGGGGTTTCTGGCCAGGGACGACTTGAGGGTGCGTCGTCCGCTCTGTCCATCACAAACCCATGGGGGTGATTGTCATCTCCATTGCAGTCTTGTGAGGTCATGGAGTCAGACCAGGGAAGATCTTCGTCGTTGTGTCCGTATTTTGCCCCGCCAGAGTGTTTTTCCCCGTGATTGTTTGATTCTGTGCTCCAGCGTCTTTCCCCAGGCGAGTTTTCTTCTAAATTCCATTTTCTCTCTTTGTGGGTGTCAGCCATCTCAGCACAGCGTCTGATGTTTGGTTCATCCACCGACCAGTTGTAGAACCTTTCTGCGCATTTGTCTGTCTTTTCAATCCACGCTCTTTGTCCCCGTACACCTCCGAGCCCGTTTAAAATCACACTTGTCCATATCTCTTGGCTGATGTCCTCCGTCTCTCCTCCCACAGATTTCTTGTCTCCATCTGCTAGAGAAATAATAAAATCAGTCAAACGTTAAAGTATGGGAAGTTGACCAGGTGGCTAAGGGGGCGAACACCATGTCAGAACACTGTCATTAACTGCTGAAATCCTGGATTTGAGTCTGTGGGTTTCATCCACATGTAATTAAGTTGAATATTTCACACTAAGTGAGTTAAAGGTCTGTGACTGCACAAAACAAGCCATAATTAAATATAGAAAAAATAGAATTCAGATTAAGAGGTGACATTTATAGAGTATATAGAATAAGGGTGCCTATAGAATGGAAAATAGACCCATGGAGGTAGAAGTCATCTCCCGTAGCTGCTCTCTAACACAGCAATCCACGCTTACTTTGAGAGTTTTGAATGGCAATTTTTTCATCTCACAACACATTACACCAATTGGAAGAAAAACATTGAAAAAACACCAAACAAATTAAGTCAAAGTGTTGCCATGCTGAAATGAGTATAAATATTGAATTATTGCAGATGAGATGCTAAATCATATCTTATGTTATGTTAAAGCAGTTTTAACGTCATTTCAAAACACACAAATGGGCAAAGCACTTCACGTGCAGGTACTGGGTGGATTTTTCCATCACGGGACTGTGAATGATGGTGATGTCTCGGGGAGGCCGTCATCCATAAGTGGATAGATTATGGATGATGTTGACGATGATGATGATTACGATGATGATTGATGCTGTTTCAGCGGGAAATGCTCACCATGCTCCTCCCAGCGTCCTCGTTTGGCCTCCGGAGTGGAGCTGCCCTGGCATGCGCCCTCGATGGCACGGGTGGTGGGTGACCCCTCCCCACCCCCCCCGAGACCTCCGACCTCTGGGGACTGACGATCGCCTGTCCACGGATTCCATCGCCGGACCCTGTCGTATAAGCGGGCGGCGTCCTCTTGTTTGTTGCGGTGCTGGTTTTTGTCATATGGGTGGTGCTGTTGGTCATGGCTGTTGTCTTGTTGGTGGTCGTAAGGGTAGTGCTGCGGCATGGACGGATGGACAGGCGTAGGGCTCTTGACGTCCTCCCCGTGCAAAAGGCCACAGCGGAGTCGAAGTGAAATGAGCTCCGTCTGGAGAGGGAGAGAGAGAGCAAAGAGAGTATTCACATTACTGCGTAGGTTTTTCGCGGCTTGTGCTGTACAGCGCCACATGCCGTGGGCTCACAGCACATGGAGCCAAACATTGCACATCATGCCAAACGAAGCAAAGTACAAACTGAAAACACATCAGAGAGCTAAGAGAGAGAGAGAGAGGTTAAACATGTGAAGGCGATTTTCACAGATGCAATCCCGATTGAACTAGAAATCAATTCAGTCTGCTCGCTACCCTCAGCGTGTCGCACAGTTTTTTTTCAGTTTATTTATTTTGGTATAGCCCTGTGAGCCATTCGGCTCTTGAATCGGGTGCAACCACAACAAACAAAAAAACAAAAACACGAACAAGAAAAACATCTTAAAGTGACTGTGACTGTGCAAACAGAAATCCATGAAAAAAACAGCAAAAATATTCCTGAAAAAAGCACCGTACACCAACGCTGTGTGCAAAAAAATCCCAGTCTAACTCCGTACTACAACAAAACAAACATGTCCAAACCAAAATACGTTTTCGAAATCACCAAAAATAAAGCCATAATTGCAACGTAACAGTGATCACAGGGACTGTGACCGAATTTTTACAATGCACTACATAAATAACATGTAACACCAAATCCTAGAGCCATAGCTGGCTGCATGAGTACTCCACAACAACAGAAGCATCAGTCGGAGTATCAAATTTTTCAATGCACCTTTAAGATCAGCACGCTAAATCAAAATACAGATAATACTTTGCAGCGTCATCCGGAGCGAAACATTTTATTTTATTTTACGCCAATCAATAGCAGTGGCAGCTAGGGGTGTACAACTCCTCTAGAGCAGTTTTGAGAGAAGATCTCATTGGTAGCGATTTAAGTTGCAGTTTATTGGCAATAGCATTCCAGACCCTGGGGGCATCAATAGCAAAGGCCCTTCCTCCAGTTTTTGTACGGCAATAGGACACATCGTTTGCCAAGAGTGACATGTGCATTTGCGAAGGCCTATACAGGCAACGGGGGTGGTGCAGTGGTTACCACGCACGCACACTTGAGTACACGTATGATGCGTGCACGTGTCAGGACACAGGACGTATTGGTGCCTGATTGGTCGGCTTAACTTGTGGGTGGGGATTACGTGATGATGATGATGTGACACTGGTAGAAGTTCTATCCAGCACCACTGAGGATAAATTAGCGTTTCTAGAGACGACGGCTCATTGGTAACAAATATAATCAATAGGTATTACCCTTTTAACCTATTCCTATATTCCTATTCCTATATCTTGTTTCTGGCAAAGGAGGTCTCATAATGTAAATGCTCACCCCGAGCCCTCAATACTCTGATAGTGCGCTGTTTTTGAGTTGTACGCCTTTTGGCGTCTTCTGGTCCAACAGCAATGGAGACTAGGCTCTAAGAAAAGCTGTCTCGGGTGTGGACCAATCAAATTCAAGGACAGTGCATATTATTATCAGAGTTGTCTTTTTTGTTTGCATTTTGACTGCTTGTGTTGTGGTTATTGCAAACATGATGCCTTGAATAAAGGTGTCAGTTTTTGTGCCAGTTAAAAGGGTAAAACCTATTCCTAAATATAATCAACCATTATGTGATTTGCGACCCAGGTATTTGGTTATTTTGCAGGTATTGGACTATTAATTCTTGCCATAGTTTCATGTTTTCATGGTATGATGATGCTGTGTTGTAGTCATAAAATGCTGCCATGGTGCCGTTAGCTCGTGAAGTCATGTTGTAATAGGGTCAGGGTCTCATGGACTTGTGGTCTTCATGTTAACATCGTGTCGTGGTTTCGTGGTCTCATGGTGTCATCGTGTCATGTTCCGCACTACCGATTAGCACGGTTGGCTATGTGAAAGAAATTCAACATGCACACGTACATGTTCTTGTGCTGCCGTGGCCTTATGGGCCCGTGCTGTAATGACCCCACGATGTCACGTGCTGCGGCGGACTGTACCGGTGCTGTGTCTCATCATGACGTGGCGGTGCTGTGGCACCATGGTGTGACGCTATCATGGTCTCATCATGTCCCTGTTACATCATTTATTGCGGCATAACGCTGCCGTGTGGCCTTGTGCCGCCAGTTTCCGTGGTGTCGTGATCTCGTGACGTCATGTGTTGTGGCGTGACGCCGGTGTGACGCCGGTGTGACAAGGCTGCTGTGCGGTGTGGCATGGCGGCACGCACCTTGAGCCGTGCGTTCTCGTCGAGGAGGCCGAGCACGCGCGTCTCCAGCACGAGGTCGTTGAGTCTCCGCTTCTCGCGCGACCGCTTGGCCGCCTCGTTGTTCTTCCTGCGCTTGTCCCAGTACGACGCGTCCTTCTTCTCCGACGGGGTGAACTCGCGCTTGCGCCGCCCGGAGGCAGACAAAGACAATGATCCCTGCGACCCCTGGGACTCCTCAGAGGCCTGGGAAACCAAGGGTGCCAGTAGAACTGCATCGTCAGGTTCCTCGTTGCTGCAGAAGACCTGAGTACTTGTGGCCTGGGCTATATGGGGAGTCTCCGATATCGCGGAGACCTGTTGAACACGGGTCCTCTGGGAGACCACAATCTGAGGTTTCTTTTGGTCGGAGAGCCGAGACGCTGCGGCCTCTGATTCGTGAGCACTTTGTGAAACTTGGAGCTCCCCAAGGTCCTGGGATTCCAGCGAGCCCATGGACTTCTGGGAATTCTGGGAGAGCTTTAGGACCTTGGACCCTGGAGACGAGTGGGAATCGTCGAGGTTGTGAGGCACCTCTGGGAATTGGGAGACGTGGGTTGGATAGACCTGTGAGTCTTGGGAGACTTTTGGTAACTTTCCTTCACGGGGACATCTTGAGATGCACGATTCCTGACGGACCTGAGATTGCCTCGAGAATGGTGGTTCCTGGGATACTTTTGGGACCCTGGAGAGCACTGAGACCTGAAAACCCTGAGTCACCTGTAGAGTCTCACTTGCTTGGGAAACCTGAGAGTCTTGTGGGTACTGAGTGTCCTCTGGGACCTGAAAATCTGGGTAAACACGTGTTCCCTGAGCTCCCCTGAGTTCGCCGTAGTCGTGGCTTTGGCTTTGTTGTAGCCGTGTGTTCTGAGAAACCTGAGAATCTATGGAACCTGAGTGAACTTCACGTCCATGGGAAATCCGGCGCAGGGGTTCCATGGAGAACTGACCATGGGAGGCTCTTGAATCATGGGAGTCACGGGAGACCTGGGATTCTACAGAGACGTGATTTGAGTCCCGCAGATCCTGCTGCTGCTGCTGCTGCTGCTGATTGTGATGTTCCTGCCGATGCTGTTCAGTCTCCTGACTCTGCTGCTGCTGCTGTGGAGACTCTTGATTCTGCTGTTGCTGATGTTGATGATTGAGCTGTTGTATCTGCTGTTGCTCTTCATGATTCTGCTGTTGCTGCTTTTGATGCTTAAACCACTTTTGCTGCCGTTCCTCTTGACGTTTTGGAATGTTCTGAAGCTTTTCCTGCTGCAGTTCCTCTTGCCGACTGTCCAGCCTCAGCCCTTCACGAGTGTTCTGCTGATACTGTTGATTCTGCTCTTGCAACTGTTGCTGTTCCTTAAGCTCTAGATTCTGCTCGTGAAACTCCCGATGCTGCTGCTGTTGATGAATCAGCTGTTGTTGATGCTGTTTGTTCTGCTGCTGTTCTTCTGGATTGTTCTGTTTCCGTTTCCGAGCGTTCTGCTGTTCTCCTGCTGTCTCTGCTGCTCTCTGCTGCTTTTGCTGGTGCTCATAGTTCTGCTGCCACTGTTCACGATGTGTCAGCTGCTGTTCTTGCTGCTGTTGCTCGTGTTGCTGCACCTGAAGGTGTTGATTATGCTGCTGTTTGTCTTGGTGATTTTCTTGCTGCTGCTGTTGTTGATTCTGCTGTCGACGTTGTTGCTGTTGCCACTTCAGCTGCTTCTGCTGTTGAGATTGCTGCTTGTGATTCTGCTGTTGTTTTTGCTGCTGCTGCTGTTGTTGTTCATGATCAGAGTTCCGGGATTGTTGATGCGTTTGTTTCTGTTGCTGCTGCTGTTGCTGCTGTTGATGCTGCTGTTGTTTCTGTTGCTGCTGTTGATGCGGCTGTTGCTGCTGCTGTTGTTGCTGATGCTGTTGTTGGTGATGTTGCTGCTGCTGTTGCTGCTGTTGATGCTGCTGTTGTTGCTGATGCTGTTGTTGGTGATGCTGCTGCTGTTGCTGCTGTTGATGCTGCTGTTGTTGCTGTTGCTGCTGGTGGTGGTGCTGTTGTTGCTGTTGCTGCTGTTCTTGATAGTTGTGGTTCCGGGATTGTTGATGTTGATTCTTCTGCTGCTGGTGTTGTGATTGCTGTTGTTGGTCGGGGATCCAGGATTGTTGAATTTGCAGCTGCTGCTGCTGCTGTTGCTGCTTTTTCTGCCATAGATGCTCTTTATGCTGCTGATCTTGACACATCAGCCCTTTCTGCTGCTGCTGCTCTTGCTTTCGCCACTGCTTCATATTTTTCTGCTGTTGCTGTGGCTGCTGCTGCTGCGGCAGACAAAGACACGGACACACAGAGACAGACACACAACAATGAGGCAACTTTCAGACGAAGGCACTTAATCATTTCAGCAATCAACGGTGTATGGTCATGATACGCTGCGGCGAATATAGGGAAATCATCATCAGCAGCAGCATCACAATTCCTCTCTCTCTCTTTCGCATGGGAGGAGGGAAAAGCAACAGTTGTGAAACACTTCAAGGGTGAATGCTATTTTCTTTGTCCAACCAATCCACGGAGGCGGCAGTGGACGCTGTGTGGATCATAGCGACATCGTCAGGATGCCGCAGTCGCTGGTTTGGACTTCACCACGGTCGCAAGTCCAGAGATTATTTAATCTTCCACTTGTGGAAGCTGTACGCGCCCATCTCCAACGTTGCGTTCGAGCGCGCTTTAGCAAGGCATGTGCTGAACTTCTTTTGCACTTCACATAGGCAACCGTGCGAATCGGAGGTCCAGAGTTAGGGGAGAAGCCCGGTGCTTCCACAGTCGGGTCCTTAACGGGGAGTTTATTCCAGCCTCTGCACTCGCCCCAGGATTCCGTCCACCGAGTGTCTCTGAGTGTGAGCACCGATGTCTTTAGTTTCGGCTGCTACAGCGCATTTGCGATGAGGAAACGGGGACTTCATTTCTCAACGAATTTGTGCCGGGCCACGGGTAGACTGGAGTCGGCACGTGACCCGTAGCCACTGCCGTAGCAACAGGTATACTGGATGTGGTGCGGAAATATTTGTCGGGTCACTGACCCATACGGACCTGAATGAAATTTTGCAACTGTGTTCACTTGGTACAAGAGCGGCCTGGGATTATGGATTTCTGTATAGCTAAAATGAAGAAAGCGTTTATTTTAAAGTGTCTGTTTTACACAGAGCCCACTGAGTCTTGGTTGGTCATGTGACCTTTTTTGAACGGGAAGCTGTCCTCCCGGTTGCTCACTTTAGGAGCCAGTGATCAGAATTGACCAGATTTGGGCATAATATATCTGTCACGATTAAAGCAGTGGTGTGGGGACCATTGCTGGTCATTTAAAAGGGGCTCACTCAATCTCCCTACAAAAACACTGAAAGTGAAAATACAATTTCCACAGATTTTTGTTGAGATTAAATCTCCCAATGTGTTTTGAACTCAGCTTAAGGTGTTTTGCAATTGGTTTATGGGATCGCTTAAGTTACGTAGAATAAATTGCAGCTGTCTGTTATACCACCACCACCAACGTTATCACAGTTATCACCAACACTACCCAACATCCCAACCACTGCTACCACTGCTACCACCAACAATAGCAAAGGCACCACTCATCTAAGGCTGAGTGGACCTAGGCGAGGCCCAGGACCGGTTGATATAATCAGTCTCTGGCAATGGTGGCCATAGAGCGGAAATCTAACTCGGGTCGCCAGGTTCGCAGCGCAGCGCGCTAACCGCTACACCGCTACACCGTCAACATAACGGGCAACGTTGCGACGAGACTGTGCTTCTGCACTGCCGTAGGGCGAATCCACGATCGCAGTCTGGCAATCGCGTATCGCAACCGCCATTCACCACCGGGTTGTTCATGAGATCATCCGAGTGATTGATTGCCAGCCTGTATCACTTTAGAGGCCACGTGAAGTGTCGAAGGCTCGCCCGTGGGAGGTCACGTGACGGACCCAGGTATGTGTTGGTTTAATTGAGATGCCTGTCAGATGTGCCTGCCTGCTGCACTCTCCCCTCCAACTTCGCAACCTTGCTTTTGTGTATTCATTCGTCTGACGCTCTGCTTCGCTGTCTCCTCGTGCTTGCTGAAAGGACAGCTTCTGCCAACTGCCCGTTCGCGCGTTTGCCTTACGAGCCCTCCTCCACTGACATTACCGGCGCGATGTCAATCGGGTGGCTTTGTTTTGTTTGGTGGAAAACGCAAAAGTGGCCGATAGTTCCCACCGAAAGTGTCCGCGTTGCCAGTGAGACGTGAATAACATCCGCTGTAGAGTAAAACTAAGCTGCACAATCGTCACGTCGGGTTAGAGCGGTAATTTTTTTTTTAAAGCCTCATTACGCATTGGGTTTCCACGGTGAACCGAACCCAGACATCTTTCTCAGTCAGCTAGTCCGACCAAAATCGCGCAGTTTGACTGTGTACAGTTCCAACACAATGCCGGCACCAGATCTCATTCCTGGCACACGAACACAGATGCCAATTCCCAGACACTGGGTTAAAAAAAACCCCAGACAGGTGGCAACCTTATTTATGCACCATTTAGCGACCTCGGTGTTGTGAGATTGGAAGAATGCCACCACGACAGTGTTGGAAATGCAACAACAAAACATTGACTGTCAGCATGTAATTCTGATTGTGAATTGATTGTTTATTTTCATGATCTAATTTCTCCTGCGGCTATTCCTTTCCGCCAGTTCGAGTGAGCCCTCAGTTCGCAATCAGAAGGTTGCAAGTTCAACATTCTCGTCGTTGGTTGGTTTTGTCTGTCATCCTTGCAGGGGTTTGATTTTAAAAAAATGGGTACAAATTATTGGGAGGTTAACAGTGGCCATAAACTATCCGCCAGTGAAGCTCCTTTGTGCTGGGAAACATTTTATATCGCGTGATAGGACGCGACCACATTCCCACATCACATAGCCACTTCACAAGAGCCTAACCGCTGATGACATCCGCACACCACGGGCTATGCGGCGCAACGGAGCGTACACACACGCACATACATCGACATGAAGTGACACACGGACACTCATCTGTAACACAGAAATCTGTTGTCTCGCCATCCAGACGCTAGAGCAAGTGCTGTTAGCAAGCTCCTATTAAGACCAGCACGGCGCACGTGAAGGAGCAGTGTGGTCAGAGCTACGTCGACCGCAATGGTGTCCCCGTTTCTGCTGATTTCACACCCCACAGGGGAACTCTTTCAATGACGAAAGGACCTGACAAAGGCGGGTTCCAGATACCGCTTGCAACTGGTACCACCGGTGGCCATGCAGGAGGGAATCTCACCCAAATGTCTGAAATCTAACCGCAGCGGGTGAACCGCCGTGCCGCCACTGCTCTCCGCAAAGACACAATTATTTCCCCACATAGCATTTAGCAGAACTGTTGGGGCTGTAATGCCACTCTCTAAATATAAATTAGATTAGACACAGAGACTCGCACATTTCACTACACAGACACACGCCTAGACACTTGCATACACGGCGACACATTCACACGCCCACCAACAGACCACCATCACGCACACCTGCAAATAGATACACCCACACCACACACGAAGACAGACTCACACCGCACACAACATACACACGGACCCGCAGACACACAAACCAATGGGCGCACATCGACTTACCTCTCCGGAGTGTCCCATCTGTTAGTGAGCCTGCTCTTAGTCGCTCTCGCCGTGGCGCTAACCCTTTATAGGAGGGTCCTGGTGGGTGGTGGGGTGTGTGGGTGGGGGTGCAGGGTGTGTGTGTGTACGTGGATCTATATACAGGGTGGGTGTGCAGTGCGTGTGTGTGTGGGCTTATATTCAGTACTTATAAGAGGGCGGGGGTCTACTACGTGTGTGGATGCAGTGTGTGGGCGTCAAGTGCAGTGGTTAGCGCGCTGCACTCAGAGCCCAGCCAACCGGGTTCGATTCCCGCTCACGGCCAACACCAGTGATGATTTTCAGAACCGGTCCTGGACCTCCCCTAGGTCGACTCAGCCTCAACTGAGTATCATCTGGTGCGGTGTGTAAGCATCATCCACTGGGTAGACAAAGGCGGTCGGGCGTGCTTCTGGCTATACTACCCTGTTTCGGCCTTCATAGGTGCTCGCAAATCGCACTTGCCCCCAACATTTTCTTAAGGCTATACGGGGGATATTTGTCTTGTTAATTTTCGTAGTAGTATTCTATGTGCGTGGGTGGGCAGTGTGCCGTTGTATGTGTTCGTTGAGAGTGTTTACCTATAGTGTGTGCATTGTGTCTGCAGAGTATGTGTATATTGTTCCACTGATGCGTGCACTGCACTACAACCCTGGTCAAACGAGTCGAATTGTCGGCAATGGATCTAATATCATTGGCACGTGGTATCTGAACCTGCCCTGAGCATCTCCTAGGTCAACTCTACCTTACGTGCATATCTGCTGCAGTGATAATATAACATTGGAACTTTGAAGACAAAAGGAGGCTGGGCGCAATGCCTCGCATTCTCCTCTGGCCTTAATAGGTGCTCACTAATCAGCATCAGCCCTAACGGTGTACAAGGCTAAACGGATGAGTGTTGCCGCTGTGCGTTGCGATGTGTTTATAGGGTGGTTGCACACTGGTTCCGCTCCGCACCCAAGTACCTGAGTTCGATTCCCAACCACGGGCTAACATCAGTGGTGAATATCTGAACAGATCTTGGGCTTCCCCTAGATCGACTCAGCCTGAAATTATGTCTCTGGTGGAGTGTGTTAACATCGCCACTAGAGAGACAAATGCGGCCGGGCGTGGTGCTGGCTACCCACCTCGTGTGCCGTGTCGGCTTTCAGAGGCATTCGCTAACAGCGCATGCCCCA